GAGTCGATGACGAACTCGAACAATGTCGATAATGCAGAGACGATCGTCACATAATCACACTATGCTTTTCGTATTTTTTGTATATGTATACAGAACTTATATGAATATGTGTTGCTTTGTTTTATCATATTAAATAGAAAATCTAACTATATATGTATAGAAATTTTTTTGTAAACTTTTTTGATATTCATAAGCTTCCAAATGCAAATGCGAAGGTAGAGCAATGTTCTTCAAAATTTTTCTGTTCGGAGCATCTACACTTTCGATATGTATAAGCTGTGGAACTTTTGGATTAGGCAAATATTACGCTGACAGCTTGAGATTTTATATTCAAAATTTTTTGTTCGTTTTCGTTACATATCGAGCAATGCTCCTATTTATTTTTGCACGTACTTTCATTGCATAAAAGCTTTTGTAATTTTGTGTAATCAATACGACGTAAACTTTGCAGAAAAATGTCAGTGTTCTGTCGGTAAAGTTTTTAGTTTCAGTATCCCCTTAATATTTTTTTTCCTCCTAATATTTCTGTTTAAAGTTATTTTATCCTCGTGTTAATTTCTTCACAGTAAAGAGATATAATGTGTGAAAAGATCGTACAGACTTATATATATTTGTACAAAAAAATATACATATGTTTTCTTTATTTAGGATTACTCAACCATTAAGTTGGGCCGGAAAGACTGAAAACTTTGACTGGAATGAATATTTAGAAACGTTCCATGCTAATCCTACATCCGAAAGCTTGTTCAGCATTCGCGAGAGTGCTGCTGAAGCAGGCTTCGAATGTGGCATGAGACTAGAGGCTGTCGATTTGGAACATGAAGATGTGATATGCGCCGCTCACATCACTAAGATCGTCGATAATCTCTTATGGATAAAATTAGATAATTACGAACATTGCCGACCAGATCATATAGTCGACATGCATTCCTTGGAAATCTTTCCTGTTGGATGGTGCGAGTCAAATCATTATCCGCTGAAACCACCAAGGGATTATGTTGAAGTGTGTAAAAAGCTGCAAATATCTGTAAAAGAGGAAAAAAACAATGTTTTGGACATACCGATATCTGAACCACGATCTTCACTTTGGTGCCCAAAAATATACTTTAATTACCGATGCTTCACAGGCCCGATGATTTCAAAGGGCAAACTAGCGACTCTTCCCAAGGCAGTAGGACCCGGACCAGTTATATTGGTTATGCGAGAAGTTTTGTCCATGATTGTGTCCGTTGGCTATAGAAGCGCTAGAATACTGAAGGTATTACAGTGTGATTCCAAACCAGACCCCGGCTATCACTTGGAAGTTTTGAAGGCAAAGCACAAGAATAATACTTATCGTGCGAACGTAGCCATTGTTACATCCGGAGATATGGTAGCAGACTTTTGTCGGGGTATATGCAAGAAATTAATGGTATGCCCAAATTTATTCGGTCCGCTACACATTTCGGAAAATCAATGTCCCGATGAATGCTACAAAACCTCTAAGACTAAGTATAGTAAGTATATTTTTTGTAGAAGTATATATATATGTTGTGTATCGCAATTCGCGTAATAGCGAATTTATACTGTTGTTTAGCGTCTTATTAAACGTATTAATCGACACTTTCAGCAGCAACAGTTGGAACTGGAAAAAGAGGAAAGCCTAAAGGATATACGAGTATCATGGTGCAAAAACCAAAACCTTGGAGTAGAAGGCGTAAAAGAAGGCGAGGTAGATGGGTGAAACATAAAGAAGTTCATGATGAATACGATCACGAAGAGGATATCTCATTTATGTCATTAGATCTGGCAAAGCATGTTTCAAACAGTCTCGAAGAGTCGTACGATGGGAGACAACCACTCTCAGAAATAGATATCATGATACAAAAAGGATTAGAAAAGTCCGACAAATCGGATGATTTTAAGACTGAAACACCTTCCAGTAATGTCTCAGAAGATTCTGGTAGTTCGTTTATCGACAGAAAGACGCGGGACAGGGGGCCGTGCAGTCCTCCCAGTTTAAATTCTAAACAACATTCCACGAAATTTAGGCAAAATTCTGGAATCACTAGAGGAAGCCTTAAGAGGGAACGAGATTGGGACACAAGTATAGAATCCGATTGCTCTGAAGCAGATGCCGAATACGTGAGAATGCAAAAGACGCAACGGCGGCCAAAAACACGAAAGCTCGATTCGAATCCTCTATTCTGGTCCGTAGACGACGTGTTTCGTTATCTTAGAAAAACGAGCGATTGCAAAGATCTTGCGTATCGCGTCAAGGAAGAGGTGAGTATATAATAGCATTATATTCAGTATATAATTGTATTATATTCTGATCGCATGTTTTCATAACATTCATGACACTTTTCTGCTTTTCAGGAAATCGACGGTCTTGCATTTTTATTGCTAAACCTTCCTTCTCTTACTCAACATATGAAATTGCGAACGAGTGCGGCTATGAAGCTTTGCCGACATGTGGAACAAGTTAAGGTTACCTTCTTTCTGCGGCACATTAACGAAGTAGAGCCTGAGTAATACCAAATTGTCTAAACGATAATTTCGTGATGTAATTTGCTTTCTTCGTTTGTGATATAAGTGTGTACAGTTATGTATTCACGAGATCACGAGATAAAACGAAAAGAACATGTATTATATTTATATAGTGTAATATTATTAACTTATATTAGATGATAAGAACATTATTTTTAGATGTATTATTTTTAAGTACGCAAGTAATGAAAACACGTAGAAAACTGCATGTAATTCAACACAACAATATTTCTTTATGCAATCGAAATTTATATTGTGCTTTATTTAATTATTATTATTGATTTTACAATTAAAGCAGTAAATACATAAAAACTAAAGCTTGTTTTTCAATTCTCTTTACGTTTAGCAGTCACAGGTTCTGATACAAATATAGATTATAGCCATTTTGAATAATTTAAAAATAAATATGTAAAATTTCTATGATGTACATATATATCAGCACAAAACTTATCTTTAAAAAAAAGGTAAAAAAAAGGTAAAAAAAGCGTCAAGTGCAAGCGCTATATAAAAAAATAAACTGTTCTACAAAATAATATCACAAGATATTTGCGCGAAGTGAATTTGACAAATTAACAACATTATGTTTTTTATTTCCTTATCAGATACTTATTATAGAACTATTCTTTTATTAGAAAAAAAATAAAATTAAGATTTATATAAAAAAATATCTTTCGTACTTGGATTGCAATAAAATGCACTAGAATTCTAAAGTAAATTTATATATATTTTAATAAACTAGACATACTATTTCAAGCAGATAATACCCGTATCAGTCTATGGATTGAGAATTATAGTCGGACCAATCAAGATTTAAATTGATCTTATGGCAATTCTCAATTCATAGTCGAATATAACGGTCGATAATACACGAATCTCCAGATGCGTCTCGCGAGTTCATAGCAGTCCGCCGAGAGCATTGCTCGGTAAATCAAAATTGCCGGGCTCTAATTCCAAGATGGCTGCCTCGCACCGCGAGGTGCTGCCATCGCGCAGACGGCCACGGCACTGCGGCGCGCTTCACGCGAAGGACGCGCAGTTGAATCGGAGCGCTCGTAGCACGTAGACGACGTCACTCGACACGATGACGTTCAGATGTTTCGCGCGAGCCGACGAAGTGACGTGCGTGAGAGAGCGGGTGTTGCGGTGAGAGGAGCGACGCTTGAAAACGGGCTGCGACAGAAAATCGCTTTCAGTAGCGGGACGCGCTCCGTATCGGATGGGTGGGTAGTCCTCGTTGTTGTTCTCGCGCTCGAGTGCACGCGGAACGCGTAGAGAACGATCGAGTGAATGAACGAGTACGCGTACGACGACACGTCGCGACAAAACGCGATGCGCTTGTTTTACCACACTGTCGGCAAGAGCGACGAGTGATTGATCGGCGCGCACTGCAGCAGCAGCAGCAGCAACAACAATAACGACACGCCAGTAGCGAGCAGCCGTGACTTTCAACATGTCCATGAAGGTGAGTGTCGACGAGTCGAAGGTACGCGAGGATACGCTTCGTGCTCTCTCTGTCATCGCGATTTTCAGGAAGCGGATTTACACCTTCTGAAAGCTCTCTGGACGCGGGTGCTTCTCCATTTTTCATTTGTCTTCGATTCAATCGAATTTCAGCGCTTTCTCTCTCTCTCTCTCTCTCACACTCTTTCTCGTGCACGTCGCGCAATTTCCACTCGGACTGTACCTTTTTTGCAATGTTTTTATTGTGTCAGGCGATTCACCTTTTTTCAGAAAGAGAGGAAGAGAGAGACAGAGAAAAGCCGTCGTTTTATCAGTTGTTTACGGCAGACTAGAGGTCGCAATATCGCCAAATTTTTCGAATGATCGCGCGATGGCGAATGACTTGGGCGTTATTGTACGCCTTTTTCGTATTGTTCATTTGTAAACGTGGCCATTTAGTTATTGCGCTTCGATCTCTGATTGGTCGACTTTCCTCCAAAGAGAACGCCGTTCCTCTCGATCACTCTTCTCTCACCGTGTGTTTTTCCTTCGCCGCGATTGTACATCTTTACGCGATACCAATTTGCGTATCGAGCGAGAAAGAAAGAAAAAAAGGAGAGCCCGTGTTCGACCTCAACGTGTCGACGAGGTACACACGCGTCGTATCTTTTTATTAGCGCGTTATTCGCAATGAGTGAGGCGCACCTGCGAGCGCGATTAAAAACAAAAACCGACGCGGTTCGCGACGAGGCCCCGCTTAATCGCCGTCACTTTTCCGAATTCTTCCTTGCGGGTGTACTCCTTGCGACGAAATGCCGGCTAACGTTGTGAAATCCTGCAATAAGACATTTTCCGCGCCATCGAGCGCACCGATCCAACGGTAAGCGCGTTCCGCAATTTTATGTCTGCGATCCGTGACGCGCGCGCTCGGAATCGGTAAATCGGCGAATAACGGGCGGGCTTGTGCGCCAACCGGCCGATTTTCTCCATCTCCGCGTGGAATTTCTCGAAACACTGTGGCGCGAGAGTCTCGTTGGAACGTGGATAACCAAAACCCGTATCGATGGTCGCCACTTGAGACTTAAAATGCTAAATAAATACGATGAGATCTTAGATTTTTTATTTATTTCTTTTACTTAAATCATACATAATATGTGTGACATTACATTTATAATCACGATTCATTCACAAAAATTCATATCTACCTTTGCATTCAAATATCTCATTTATATAGTAGAATATCTCATCTGATCAAGTTTTAAGTAACGACTATTGATACACTGAATTAAGATAATTGAAAACTTATTTGTAGGATATAAAGTTTATTTCTGTTTAAAATAGAATTTATTTTTGTGAAAGAAAGTTTATTTCTGTGAACAAACTTTGACAAATAAATTTTCAGATATTTTTATTCTCAGTGTAGCTTCCACACTTGACTGACGCAACTAGATCTAAAACGTAAAAATCTGTCGAGATACGCAGGCGTTTTTGTGCGATTGTTTTCTTTTGTCGTCAAATTCGCGAGAGATGTTTGCGACAGGTGTATCACTTACATCAAAGTCGTTCCGTAAACATCGAAAACGAAGGTCAAAGTCAATCAGATTGTTGTCGCGGGAGACGTTGAAAATGTTCACGTCGTGTTTACCGTTAAATCGTAAAATAAGGATCGGAAAATAAGGCCGGTCTTTATTTCGTCCAGAGAAATATCGGCGCCGTGTGCTGATGACAGCGGTGAAAATTATGAAGGCGCTAAAAATATTTGGCCAGAGTTTCTTCAGCGTCGTTTCAGTGAGTTACATGCATATTTACGGATACATTTATATTACATTATACCGGCCAACGGCTCGTACTTCCGTGCCGGATTCGGTATGGCAACGTTTTCCATCGTTTCGCCGTTGTTCTGACACGATATCTGTACTCGCTCGAAACTGTGTAGAGACAAATTCTCCGGGCAAAAATTAAAGGGCTATAATGGTCTAATAAGTAATAAAAATACTGAGGAAAGAAGGTACTTGGAAAATTTATTTTTATGAAATGAGGTTTATTTCTGTAAAACAAACTTTCATTTCACCAATAAATTTTCAAATATTTTTTTCCCAGTGTAAAATTAAACGAAATTAATTAATCCAAATAATAAAAATGAACAATTAATCCGAACGAATCAGAATTATCATATCAAATTAACACGATTGACGTGAAAAAAGCACTTAAAAATTTATTTGCGAAATATAAAGTTCATTTCAAGAAATAAATTTTATTTCACAGAAATGAACTATATAACTTTATATAGAACTTAACTGAATATAGAACTTTATATAGACAAATATTTCAGTCTTTTTTTTAGATATTTCTTAAGTATGAATATATAGAAGTGTTTCATGAAATATTGATTTGCGTGATACATATCTTTTGCGAGATGTGCTTCTTGTCCTTGGGACACACCACACAGAAAAATATGTACTGCATTCAAGTAAATATTACTTGTTTTGGGTATTTTGTAAGTTTTGTAGTTCTGAAAAAAAAATATTTTAAAATTTTCGTGAAGGTAAACATTTATTTCACAAAAATAAACTTTATATCCCATAAATAAATTTTCAAGTTTAATAATATAATGATATAACAGTATAGTTTTATAATATTTTTGAAAAAAAGAGAATAAATTCTTCCTCTGATGATAATTATAAACTTTTTTCGAATTTGCGATGAATATATCTTAAGATTATTATCAAGAAAATATTTTCCGATAAAGGTAACTTAAAAGAAAGAAAGTAAACTGAGTAATTTTTCTCAGCAGTAAAATAATATTCTTTTCTGTGTATGTGAAATCTAATAAGGAAATTATATACGTTTTGTCGGTTAAGTGTTAAATTCTTTCTAAATTCCGAGATTAATTTCTTTGATAAAATGCTTGAAAACATTAAATCCTTTCGACTTTGTATGGTCTAAGGTTTGATGGAACATCTGCTCGGGTTTCTTATCGATTGCGGTTTTTCTTAACAACCGGCACTTTACGCAATCAACGAAGCAAAAAAGCCCATTAGTATCTAATCGATTATTTTTTACTTTTGCAGAAGGAATCGCCTTGGGACGTGGAGTTGCACTTAGCGGCGGCACGTGGGGATGCTAAACGCCTTCGCGTCTTGCTGGACTCCGGACGCGTCCACGTTGATTGCAAGGATAAGGTGAGTATCGCATTATCACCCTTATTTATCACGATAAAATCTAGAAAAGACATTATTATTATCTACTGGAAAGTTTTATTGCGAGGGTAAAATATTATTAACGAAAAACCCTTAATGGAGTCCAATCAGACTGATCAGCCAGAAGTCGATGCACTGACAAAAAAGATATTTGAAAATTTATCTGTAACATGTAAAGTATATTTGCGCGAAATAGACTTCTATCTCGCAAATAAATTTACAAATATTTTTTCTCAATGCACGATTTCAAGTAAGAAATCAAGATATTTTTACTTCTTTTTGACTTCTTTTACTGATTTTGTCTGATCGCTCGAGAGGAACGTGTACGATGTTACCGTCGGAGGCCAGCTCGAAACTACCGACTTGTTTCGCGATCGAAATCGCGAAAAGTATTAGTCTAACGACGGTTCGGCGATTTTATGGCAGACGCGTGATTTACGGCCGCCGGTTTTCTCTCCTCGCTGACGGTCGGTCTCATTATGCAAACGACGAGGCGATGCACGAGGAGCGAGCAGCGTAGGTAACGTTACTCCTCTCAGCGTCTTGAAAGTGGTTTATTAGATCACACGCGCGGACACACTAATCGTGCCACTTCGGCAATGGAAGTTGCGTTTTACTAGCGTGTTTTTGCGAGCTTTGTCCATATGGAATCGTGCCGAGCCGAATCTAGTGTCACGATTCTGTTCGATTGTCGTGAATGTAATCGCCGATCCACTCGTCCTTGAACGCAGTCATATCTAAAAAATGTTAATGATAGCAAAAATTATAAATTGCACATATAATATTACATATTTTACACACACACACACAAACATATAATATAGATGTAAAATATATATATATATATATATGAGCAATATATATAATATATATAAATATATAATATATATGTTATATATATATATATATATATATATATATATATATATATATATATATATAACATGTTTAATAATATTTTGTATAAAATTAAAAAATATATATATTAAAAGTTATACAATTTATCATACATACAAATATAATTATATGCTATAATAATCCTTCAACTGTTATCTAACAAAGAAGAAAAAAGACGTCAAGCTTTCAGCAATGATAAACGGAAACGTCCGTTTCTACGCACAAATTCACGCTTAAACGTAACGTATTATCATAGTCGTATATTAACTCGTGTGTTAGTAAAAAAGAAAAAAGACAAACCTAGAATTATCCTAATAACTTGCTAGGAATCGATTAGAAAATACGACATACATTCGACGGTAACGTTCGCCGGGAAGAAAGTTTCGCGGCTGATCGAATCATCGAAGCGAAGTTTCGCAATGAGGCCGCTCAGCTGACTTTTCTTCTTTTTCAGGATGGCACGACACCCTTGATACTAGCTGCCGCCGCCGGCCACATCGACGCCGTGACCGAGTTACTACACCAAGGAGCAGACCCGAACGCCAAAAGGCTGGTGAGTGATTATGATTCTTTCCACGTACGGACGATGTCTCCGTGGCATGAATGAATGGAACTCCGTGTCTGAATGAGACGACGGGAGTATGTCTGTCGTCTCTCATTCAACAGTAGCTGAGATTCCTAGACCGAGTTCTCTCGAAAATCGCATCCCCTAAAAATTAGAAGAAAGAGGAAAAACAGAAAAATGCGATCGTGTCGCGAAACAAAAGCGCGATTTTGATTTGATTGCGAATTTATTGAAATAGAGTGATAAAAATTTGTGATAACGATAGAGTGGGTTTTCCAGTCATCGTTGCTCTCTCAGGAAGTTGATAATAACTGTGTAGACGAACATTATCAGCCAGGCACTTTATCTTTTTCTAAAATCACACGAAACAGTCGCCGATGAGATCAGCGATATTTCGCAAACTCGGTCGCCTTTATGTACTGTCATATCATAGTCGTTTAAGAAAACATACCATAGTGCCGCAAATTTCACGTCGCGTTGAAATTAGAGTGCACGCTTTAATCGTCGACGTGCGTCGTGTGTAATCATGAGTGATAATGCGCGATGATACCTTTAAAGCATAATGTTCTTCAACGATAATTACGATGCCGCGTTAATAATATGTTTAGTCGTCGTTTTGTGACATTTATCTTCGATACCTCGGCATCGACGAATAGAAATAGGATGACGTTCGAATGTGTGTTCTCGAAATCGCGCACTATTTTATCGCGTAGTCGCGTAGACATTGATAGCTTTAATAAAACCGGTATTTAATGGGTATATTGCCGTCTCGGGTCTGCTCGCTGGCTCCAGTTTAATTGCCATTGCGAAAGAGACCTCGATTATTTCGTGCATATTTGATTGAAAAATCAGATAGTACAATTACACGGAGAAGAAAAATGCTGCTGCAGCAAGAATCTGTGTTGACAGTTGTTCGTTGTAACATATGAATATACACACAGAAAAAACACAGAAAAATGTGTATACATAAGAAAAATATACATAGAAAAATGTGTATACATAAGAAGTACACACAAAAAAATGCATACTGCATTCAAATATACATTACTTGTTTTATTTCATAAGTTTAAATATTTGGAAATCTATATCACATAAGTTAATGAGCACTAAATTTATTTAAAATACATTCTGGATCCTAGTAAGTTTAATATTTTAATCAAGAGTATTAAATTAAAATAAATAGTCGGTTTATTTACTGCATAAACTCGAACTAACTTTTTGTTAAAGTTTTATGATATTCTTGGAACTTGAAAATAAATCCTTCTTTTGAATGTGTGGTAATGAGCTTTTTAAAAGTTGATAAGCGTATTTTAAGACTGTTATTAGACAAATATTCTTCGCGTTGAAGATAATCATTCAAAAGAAGAAAAGTAAACTGAATATAATAGCTTTTCTTAGCAAAGGAATGATATTTTTTCTGTGTGTAGCAAGTTTTAGTTGCAGCAGCAAATTTTTAAACGACGACAATTATATTTTCAGCGAATCGTGATTAGTTACGGTAGTTAAATCTTCTTTTTCGTGCAAATATTTAGGAGTGCAAGTTCTTTGATCGATGTCGATTTATCCCCGATAAAACTTCGATTGCGTAATCTCTTTGACTTTCCGTATTAAAAATCGCGGTAACTAAGCGTCAAAGTAAAATTTCATGAAAATTCACGTCCAGCTGAATTCAAATGAGAAATAACGCCTCGCTATTCGCAGAAGGTGATTCATTTGCGATTATAATTCAAAAATTGTCGGCGCGTTGGTACTTTTGTCACGAAAAGATTTCTATTCCGGGTTCGTTGAAAGAACTCGCTTGCTTCCTGAAAAGTGCCTTCCACGTGTACGTTACGATACAGCTCGTGTCGTAAGCGCTCTGCGTAACTCGCCAGCACAGTTCAGACTTGACGACCTTCTCTTTAAGGATTTCTTTTTTTAGACGCTCGCTCGGAGAGTGTCGCGGCTTCGAAATAGAATTTATAAAACTTCTCGGAGCCCTCCACTATCTTCCGATCCATCGCGTTTCCTTTTTTTCTTCATACACGTCGGATTTTTACACACGTGAAGAGTCTCGACGAGACATAAAAAGCTCGTTGCGAAGCATGTCGTTCCAAGCACCAGGAAGCTATCCCTTTTTTAAGTGCCACGTGAAGATTTATCGCGCCACGTTTCTCTCTCTCTCTCTCTCTCTCTCATTTTCTTGCTCGTTCTTTCTCTACGAGTGCCTCGTGCCATTCAGAATTACAGCATTGTATGCAAATTGATAACAAGAGATCACCGACGTATAGCGAACCAGCGTCGCGCTTACATCGTATATTTTAGTATATTTTAGGAAGTATAAAAGTCCGTATTTACAAGTCAGTATTTCAAGTCGTTGCTCACATTCACCGCTGACTATATGTTCCCGTTTTGCAACGTTTGCAACTCGCGAAGCAGCGGTTCGGATTTTGATTTCTCCAATTCCCCTGAAAAGAAATTTATATAATATCAACACTAATTACTGAACGATATATAATGATTTATTTTAATGTTAAATAACTACGATATTAGAATTAACAATAGTCAAAATTAAATAAGTAAACAATAAAAAATTAATATCCATATTAAAACTAATGTGCTCAATTAACAATTATTGTTTCATATATGGAATATATTCACCGTAACGATATCCCTTATATTTTTATTAGTTACAATGATCGGACAGGAAGAAGTTCTAGATGCAATTAGTTAGTTTTTAAACGGCAATAAAATGGATCAACATTAAAATTTCGAAAATGTTCTTTTTCTTTAAAAAAAAAAAAACGTCAAAGTCATCTTCACTTTTTTAAATGGATCTATATCTTTTTTATTCGATTAACGTATTAATAAACATAGATATTCTCAAAACAGGAATGTTTTTTTCTGTTATGAAAAGATTTATATTCCATGTTAAAACGCAGACGTCTGTCGTGCCATATAAATCCGAAAAAGTCATAAAAGCGCGCTGATTCGTTGTGAAACTTGTTCCAAATATTCTCAATCGCGTGGCAGACACGATTATTGTTGGAAACCGGGAAAAACGCGATGAGCGGACGCGCTCGAAAATAGAAATGTGTAACGTTCAGTGATCGAAAGCCATGACACGGCACGCTGTTCTCAAGATCGAGTATAAACGACGACGACGAGAACGAGCAGACGGCAGTCGCGGCGTCATGCTCGGCGATGAATTACGCAAACGTTCGTTAAAAGCCGTTAAACGCGTGCGTCGTCTTACGCAATCAGCGGATCGAGATGCAGCGCAGATCATTTCCATCGGCGAACTGGAAAACAACGCGAACCCTCTTCTAAATTAGCGCCGCGCGAACCCGACACCCGTTACTCGCGCCGCATAATTGTATCTCATTATCGGTTTTTCGTATATTAATTTATCGCAGCGCGCGGTAATTCGTCGATAAATCTCCCAGCGTGTACCCGCAATTGGCGGGGAATGATAATTCGCGGATTCAATTCGTCGCGGCGGAGCGACGATTGAGATTCGTCGAGCGATTTTGACGATCGACTCGCGCTGATTCCAAAGAGAGCGACGGCAACGCGAGCGTTTTTTGTGCGGTACGAATATCACGGGGCTATAAGAGAAACTAGACGAGAAACATTCCAAGGTTACGTGAACGAAGCACGTGAGCTTACCGCTATCGTAAAATACTCGTGCGTGCAAGTTCGCGTGTTTCTAATGCGCCTCTTAATAGCGGCACCTGCGAAACATGCGCGAAACAACGACTGTATAACGTGGAAGTTGAAGAATTATCCCTGATAAATGTCCACGATCCGTCCAGGAACGTCATCCGCGTTACCGCGGTCATTAGGAAGGCGCGCGGATGAACTACGAAATGTACACGCAAAAAAAGAATTAGCTTCCAGAGCTAAAAAATAGCTGTGGCAGATAAGATGTGTCACTGAAATAGGGACAGCTAATGTCGATACTACCGAAACTAAATTTATTCACTGTTAAACTTAGGCGCTACAGCGAGAAATATTGGCTGCTAGAAATAAATGACTGTAACAAATGATTGTAGCTGTACGGCACACTTCTTTAATATATGCATACGATAAGAAATTTAGGAATAACTGCCATTTTCGTAGCTATTTAAAATAATGTGCATTTTTAATGTCACCTAATATATTTGTATTTCATAGCGAATGCATCTTAGCTGTCATAGCCAATTCTTAACAGTGACAGCTAAACGATTAACCTTTTGACTAAGTTTGAATCAGCTACCGCGGTTTAGCTGATATTAAATCATTTTTTTGCGTGTAGCTCGCGGAACATCACACGGAAAAAAAAGATCTGCTACATATGGACAACCAAACATAATTTGCTGTATTAGCTACTTTTTCTTTGCTGCAGGAGCCAATTTTCTTACTATGATAACAAGAAAATAGGCAGCAAAGAAAACGTAGCTAACACAGCGAATTATATTTAACTGTCCATGTGTAGCAAATTAGTTTGCTGCTGCAGCAAATTATTTTTTTTCGTGCAGCGAAAAAGGGGACAGAAATGAAAAATGAACATTTCTCGCGAAAGCAGCAGAAATTTCTAACGAGCGATCACCGCGAGTGAACATCCAGGAGAAAAATTGGAGAGTTTATCTGCTCATAATCATTTACTCTTCAGAGAGAAAGACGTGGTCGAAGAGACTGTCGATGTATTAACTATACGGGTGACAACTGTGTGAATTTTGTACATAGAATTATTGTATTATTGTATACAACAATTTGATAAATTATTTAGAAGTTATATTGCAAGATTTTAAAGGTACCTTTGTTTTTTTACTTCGAAAATATTCAATACGATAATAGTTATTGATTCTCCTTATATAGTAATGTGTAATTTTCGTAATCACATTTAGTTTCAGTTGCAATAACTACGAAATAGTTTATTAAACTATGCACGTAAATTCTACAAAATTCGTGACAGCTCTGTCATGTCAAGGAAAAAAGTGGTTAAGTCACATTTTTAAGAAAAATAAGTTTTTTGTACTAATAGATTCGTGACAAAGAACTACGTCTAACTGTATTGACAAAAACTAAAAATTATTATTATTACTTATTGAAATAAAAACGGGTTAACTTTAGGTAAAAGTTTCGAATATGACAAAATAGCCCAAAAAAGAAGTCGTAATTGACAAAAAAATTGTACAACGCGTCCAATCACACGTCACAAAAATACACGTGAAAAAGACCACAACATCCATTAATGCATTCTTCTCTGGCAAAAGCATTGGTAAAGCATAGTCCTTATTACAAAAGAAAAGCCTTTCGTAGTTACGTAATTTTCTTATGTTGAAAACTATTAAGTCACTTTGCGATTTTTTTTCTCTTGTATTTTCAAAAAGCAAGAACCTTAAGTGCATTTTCGAATAGTAAATATTTAAAAAATTAATTTTTTATTGCAGAATAAAAAAAGCGTACTCGATTTACCCAATACATGCTTTTGTATTCATAGAGATTTACCTTTTCCATTACGATTCTCTAAGCAAACAGTTTTCATCGATTTTCTCAGTTTGAAGGCAAATGTAGTTAACCACTTTTTTCCTTAGCACGGCAGAGCTGTCATCTGCACAATTGCCACTACGCCTTTTTCTCTGAATGTACAATTTCTGTTCATCTCCTGGTCGTTTTGCGTATTAATTTGAGACGGTTCTCGGAGAAGCGAGCTCTCAGTGTCGCAGACAGTGTCGTCTAAAAATTCTATCCGCGATTATTGATCGTCTAAACGTGGACAACGACGTTGCGCGAAGGTGAATGACACCTATCGGGTCATCCAGTAGTTCCTGATAAACCGCGGATCTTAGGTAGACGAGCGTCGCAATATTCTCCGCCGGCGAACGGCAGCTAATTGGAGCGATCGTAAAAGACGCGTTTAAAGTCAACTTTGTAGTTAATACTGATCCGCGTTCGCGTTTAATATCGCGCGCTCACACGAAGGTATCACGCGTCATTTACCGCTAATTATCTTTTGGCCATTCCCCGATGAATTCATTAAAGAATTCATTAAATTCAACCCGGCGCCAGCCACCGCCGCGCTTGCGCAACGAAAATAAACTGACCTTTCGTTACTCCATTCGATACCGAATGCCCCGATCGGCGGAATCTGCATCCGTGAGCTGCAAAGCGCGGTACCGCTATGCTCGCGTGAAATTACGCCACTTCACGGCTGATTCAGCGTACGTCTCCGAGTTAGGCCGGGAACGCACAGAAAAACGTGAGCAGTAAAGCCTAAGTAGTAAGCAAATTGACCGACCACAGTTGATGATTCCTCTTGCGGTCCAAGAATAATCGATTGTGACTGGTCAATTTTCTTACCGCTTAAGTCTCAATGTTTAAGTTTTTCCGAGCCCTTACAGTCGACGTGTGCCATTCATGTGTTGCAATGAGCAAATATCTTTGGCGAATATTGCAGAGAGCGGGAGAAGAGCGCGTCTTTGTGAACGAGTCCGCGGACTTCTTCTCTTGTTCTGGCGACGGCCGTGGCTAACCCGACAGGTTGATCGTCATTATAGAATTTCTGCGGTTTAGTAATGGATAGGTATCATGCCCCCGCGTTCGCCACGTTTCGCGGCACATGTAACTTCATGGCGTACGCCAAGTCGGGACGGTTGATTTCCAGCGGAGACGAGACGGAGGCAAATAAGAGAGATAAAATTCATCCTCATCTCGCGCGAAGAACCTGGGGAAAACGGGGGAAAATGTTAGAAATGTGAAAGAATGTATTTTGTGTGAATTGCATTCGCGTCGTATGTACTTGTCTCTTGTCACCGGAAATAGCGCGGTCTCGCAAGAGGAAGACGTTGACGATTTTATCAAACGTTGTATGTAAACGTACTGTCTAATAGCAAATTCGATTGCTTAATGTGCACTGAGTGCGCACTAAAGCTTGTTCATAGTATGTTATCATATTTAAAGATTGTCTTAAATAAATTCTCAAATATTTTTAACCATAATATGATATGTATAACATCCGTACGAATCATTTTATTAGCTAAAATGTTTTTAAATATGTATTTAAGACATGATTTTAAATATAAGAATGTACTGTAGATAAGCTTTAACGCGCACTAGTGTAAGCTACTGAATTCGCTATAAATTTCTTTAGTCTGCAAAAATATCCTCTTATATATATATGATCTCAAGAAAATTCTTCTAAGACCAAAAAAAAATATTCTAACAGTTAAGAAAAGGACTCTAGTTGTAAGTCTAGTTGTAAGATGCTGCTTTCTGTAATCCTATATTCTAAACGAAAACTCTTAACGAAAGAGTATTCTTCCTATAAAGAAGTTGATTAATGAAATGAACTATTAATTGAAAATCTATCAGGTATTAATCCAACTTCTTTCCTTTTGAATCAAGAAAAAGAACAGATATGTTGAAGCAAAGAATGCTCTCTTAGAAGAAATTTCTATTAAGAACAAGACTTCTTCTTCTGTGAAAGACAAAGTTCCTCTAACTTTGAGAATATTGTGTTTATAATATTTTCTTTTTGATTTTAGTGGAATTTTCTCTCTTGAGGCTATGTATATAAGAGAATTTCCGCTAAAGATAAGATTATATTCGTGTAGCAATATTTTTACTATTACTTCGAGCGAAAATATTCCCACTATTCGTTAGATTTAAGTGAGATTCCATTTTAAGAAGTTTAGAGAGTAGAAATACAAAAATACGCGGCAAAAATCGAAACAGAGGTATAAGGAAGTTGTGTTCGCCGCACCTTAGAAATTAAAATAGGAAAACATATATGTGTGTGTATGTGCAATTAGAGCCTCACCTTGGACCGCGGAAGAGTAGAATAACCGGTGAATAAAGCTATGTGCTCGCCGCTCCTTCGACGGGAGCTTTTACGGCAGTGAAAGTGAATTTTACTCGCGTCCGACTCGTTGGCGGATTATCTACTAGGTGTGCACCAGGAGCCTCGCTTACGAAGGGGTCACGCGCTGTGAATTACATAATCCTGAAAATTGAAACTGATACTCATAACGAACGAATCATAATCTGGCGGATGGCGATGCAAAATGCGAATCTTCTCATACAGTCGCATTTTCCGTCGCGCGAAGAAAATTTTATAGTAAGAATTATTACAGAACCGAGAAATAAATCGGACGTTCGGTCGTAATTGATTACACAGTTGAACAAAAAAATCTGCGGCGATAAAGAAATCTGCCAATATTTCTTAGTAAATTCGAGGTCGCTAAAGCCAAATTCGCCAGCAAAAAATACTCATCACGTCAAGTTTTTGAGATAAATCGAGTAATGTGGGCAAAAAATAGCGTTTTTGCCATATTTATCAATTTTTTGTGGCCAAATGAAATTTTATTTTTCAAGTTTATTAACGCCACTTTAAAGTCCTATTCTTCACCTTTAAAACGAATTGTTATTTTGTACTGTGCGATTTTTATTCATCGAGTTATGAATGTTTTCCAAAATGTAAATAATGTGACCAAATTGGCCGGTTGAAACTGGAAAGTAGATGGATTTGTATGAAAATGGGTATTTTAAAGTTTTCGGGTTCGCTGATATAACCGAATCTGAACTCAAAATTACGAAATTCAAAGTGGCGGATCCATTATGGCAGATCGAAAGTCATTTTTCTTATTTCGGTCCGCCATATTGGACCCGCTATTTTGATTTTCGAAATTTTGAGTTCAGACGCGATATCAGCGACTCCGAAAACCCTAGGATACCCATTTTCATACAAATCCCTTTACTTTTAATCAGCCAATTTGGACCCGACACTATTTACTTTAAAGTGGTGTGAATGAAATTGAAAAAAAATTCTTTTGGCCACAAAAAATTCGTAAATATGACGTAGTTTTTTACCCATGTTACTCGATTTATTTCAAAAACCTAACGTGATTTTTTGTTAGCGGATTTGGATTCAATGACCTCGAATTTATTAAAAAATAATGGCTGCGATCGCCGCAGGAAAAAAAGTCAAATTTTGACAGTGTTATTCTTTCATCTTATATGTACTACTTATATTTTAGGGACTAAAATGTGCTATAAAAAAATTTGTTATATTTTTAGCGAAATTTGCTGTGTTTATCAACAAGATGGATCTTACTGATAGTCCATTCTTGCACTACTAAAAACACAGTAAAATTGAAAAGAATTTATGTGAGAAGGAACTATAATATTCTCACTATACGAGTATATACGTGCATACAAAAAAACTTTATGCCTGTATGTCGCGCTGATGCTATTAAATATCTCAATCCGCCTCAGATCGCAGATCAAGTTGCAGCTGTTCACAGCTGTTGCCTCTTGGGAAATTCGAAATAACACTTTCACCGCTTTGATCAGAATGCGTGGCGGTTCCTGTGTAATTTAACAATTACTACAGCAAGATTAGGTAAACGTTACAAAACAGAGTGCGGCGAACGCGCGGCTATTAATATCGACCGGCGAGGATAATTTCTATATTTAATCGCGACGTGCGAACACTCGACTGGACTGTCGCTAGATGCGTTTTTGCTGCTAAGATACCTTCACCGGAGAAATCCGAACTATTGAAATCACGCGGATTTTATTCTTCGCTGCACCGCTCCCTTTTTATCGCGAGATCAAAAATTCCATCGCGATTCAACGGACGCGTCGTCCGTCGTCCGTCGAGGAGATCTCCCCGCGAGGGAGAAAGAGATCTCTCTCGTACGTATCGCCAGGCGAATTCGGAAATATGTAATTTATGTGGCACCGGCGAGCAAAATGCCATCGCGAAAGTTGCATCCGGAGAGCATTCTCCCTCGCGAGAGAAAGAGAGCGACTCGATTTTCATTCTTAGATTGCTTCTGAGAAAGGCGCCGCGCTTCGTTGCCATTAACTCGAGAACAATTCGCGAGTTCGGCAATATCGCCTTGCTTTCGCATTTCGTATAGATTCGCTCCTTTATTTCCAATTTGCTATCCTCACGACGTTCAGCCGACGTTCGCGGGATGCGCGCGAGGCGATCGAAATCGTCGACAGGCCAAATAGAATTTATCTCCCGTTACGTGAAAGCGTAACGCCGGATTCTAATTGTAGTTTAATGCCGCCGGTTCTCGAAATAAGTTTAACCGCAAACACGCCCCCGATCGCTCCGTGCGATCGACGAAAGTTTCGCGAATTTATGCTGCGCGATCCCAGCCCGACGTGCGCTTCACATAGCGGATAGTCACGCTTTAATGCGAGACATTATCTTAAATCAGGTGAAGGCCATGTGCATACGTACGTTGCATCATAAAACTATGTTCGGCACCGTGCTGCACCGTAGAAATCGATTGTTATGGCTGGCAAGTCAAGTGGTTTAGCACCTGTGACGGATCTACTTTAGATAACAATCGCGATTAGTCTTCATGAATGTAACAGTCGACCAGAATCCGATAACAAATGAAATTCCTAATCGATACACAATGGAGTGACAGAATTTTGACAGGAGAAACGCGCGGGACAAGAGATAAACGTGACGCGTGAACATTGCAGTGTTACTTCCTAGAGAAAAAGAGAGAGGAAGAGAGAGAAATTCGGTTTGACACTTGCTCGAAATATCAAGACTGCTTTGCAACCGGTTTCACCGCTAAAGTTTACCGTTAAGCACAACTTCCCATATTATAAGCGGATATAGAGGCGCAATTCGTCGCGTTTGTATGAAGAAAGAAAGTTGAGAGTTACTTTTAAATAAAACCATAAAGAGAAGCTTGTATCATATCGAGCAGCCGTCGCGGGCCACGGAAAATTAACGTTTCTCTTTCGCATCGGTCAATAAAAGCGGCGCTGCTTAATGTGCCTTAACGACGCAACTGCAATTTTAACGCATACGCGCGTATCGAATACACGAGAGAATGTCTAAAAGAATAAGAAAGTGAGGGAAGTAGTCAAGATGTTCGAGACAAGCACGCGCAGCATAGTTGCACACTATTACTTCCAGATGGACATCAGCTAACAGTAATTTCGCATTAATGTTATATAACTTCGCATTTAACGATATGATTATATTGTACTTACATCATTGAGTTGTTACTGTTGGTTAGTGTTTACTGGATCTTGCTTTTTGTTACATAACCGTGCTTAATCGTTTAACAAAACGATAACGTTACATAAGATTTAGCCTGAATTGCAATCTGAATCAATGTGAATCAATAAGATGATGATTGATTTACGTTAAAATTCAAATTGCACGTAATATAATCTTCTCGTTTTGTGGTCATCATTTTAAGTAGGAAAGTATACTTTATCACACATTTTTGGTAAACTCAGTGTTGATTGTTGTTTGCAGACCGGGACAACGGCTTTGTTCTTCGCCGCTCAGGGTGGCTACATGGACATCGCAAGTCTGCTTTTGGAGCACGGCGCGATCGTCGACTCGTGCAGCATAGTAAGTGAGAGGCACCGTGCTGCGAGCGTGTTCGTCGGCACGTGTGGTAACGAGATCTCGTTCTTGCGACGCTAACGTATTCCACGTGGATTTCAGGACGGCGGCACGCCGCTCTTCGTCGCATGCCAGTACGGTCATCTAGACGTCGTGGAGGGTTTAATAGAGAGAGGCGCCAGTCCGAACGCACACATGAAAGTAAGGAAGTACGATTTATCTCTGCCTGTGTGGGACGTGGATTTTTCGGATGAGAAGAGAACGCCGAGGGGCAATTGTTATTCGTTACAAGTCTGCAAAGATCTGTAATATCTTCGATATTAGATATCTTTACAACGAGTTTCTATATTGCAGACCCGTCACATCTGTTAACGTTTATTTAAATTAAGAATAAAATTTTACTATCCACAATTATTCGACAGATTTTAATGTTTGAAGTTCAGTTTTCTTGAAAAGTCATTCATTTTTTATAAAACTTCATTATATCATTTTGTAAACTATTAATCCCTCGCGCGCGATTGTTTTCTTAAGGAAAAATCTTAAAAAACTTTAAATTTGTTAAGTAATCTATAGTTAAAGAACGATTCTGGTCCAAATTACCTTCTATGTTAGTATATATTAGTGACATGATAGATATAGATATATATCTATACTTGAATATCTGGATATCTGGTAGCTGATAATATTAGAATATGCACAAGTACTAGTATCGTATTTATATATCATTAATATATCATAAAAGTGATAACGGCGAGACATTAGTGTATAAAAATAGACTGAGAATGATTACGTTTTGGCAGGATGGCGCCACAGCGTTGTTCATCGCCGCCCAGAACGGTCACCTCCGTATCTTGGAAGTCCTGCTGGAACACGGGGCGAAAACCGATGCGGCGAGAACAGACGGCGCTACGCCTTTGTGGATTGCGGCACAAATGGGACACGATCACGTCGTGAGGAGGCTGCTGAAAGCCGGTGCGAAAGTTGACGCTACTAGACACGTAAGTCCCGGCAGGTCGCGTATAGAGACGAGAACCTGCGCACTATTTTCTATAATTGCCGAAAAACGAGCCATTGTGTCGTGCAAATTGGCGCGTCTTGAGTAATCATCACTTTTTCTCTCTTCTTCCAGGACGGCGCGACCCCGCTTTTCAAAGCCGCCCACAAGGGTCATACTGCCGTCATCGGCGAGCTGCTCAAGTATCGTCCTTCGCTCGGCGTGCTTCCGGTAAAGTGTCCAGCGTTTTTATTTAAGAGAGAACTTAGCGAAATGTCCAGTAAACTTGTAAAACTACTATCTGAAATATAATAAGAATGTTATTAGTATAACACATATGTTAGAAACTAAAAGCCAAACTATCAAACCTTGTTAAAGAAAATTTTGGATATTATATTTTTGTACTGTACTTGTATAATTACTAAACATAATTATTCATCTTACTACATTTTCTCACAAAATAGTATATTTATATAGTATGATTATATTATTAATAATCATACTATATAAATATATTGTTTTATGTTATGAAATTTATGTTATGAGATTGTGTTATGATATATATATATATATATATATATATATATATATATATATATATATACATGATTTTTTATAATATTGTATAATAATTATGTAGTATATTATACATGGATGAGTGTCTTATTATACATAATTGAAATTTTGTACGATTTCAGAATGGCGAAAGTGCACTGCATGCCGCAGCCTTAACGGGACACATGACAGTCGCAAGACAGCTTGTAGGAGCGGGGGCTGATCCTTTACTCGTAAATCAGGAAGGCATTACACCGTTACAGTTGGCCGTCAGGCACTCACAGACGCAGGTCGCCAATTATCTTAAGGATAAAGTGAGAGTGCGAACTGCATCCTGTTAGCGATATTTGTTTTCTCTATCTTAACATTATCATATCAGGAATCTCGAGTCATTGTTCAACAAATCTGATTCGGAAATCAGTATTTCTAAGGAGGATGTGTAGTAAAAATATTTGTAGAACGGTATATACGAAAAGTAATCCAATCTTGATAACGATAATTTTTATTAGTTATAAAACGATCACAAATATACCTAGAAGAAAAAAGACCAATATTCATGCTTTGATATACGAGTAGAGAGAAATCGTTGAACTTCCAGGCACATCAAAATTATTTTGTTAAAATTTAAAATTTTATTTTGTTGAAAATTTTGCGTTATTTTATCATTATTGAAAAATATTATCAGAAAGGAGATTTAAAATATATTATTTTTTACTAAATAATAAAATTCTTATATATTAAAATTGATTAATAAGATTGACATCAATATTAGGATATTTTTTCGTACGCTACCATATAAGTGACATGAATAATCACACTAATCATATGAAAGATGACAATGAAGGGAAATTTAACGAGTTCATGTAGGAAGGTATGAACAAGTCCGCGCGCTGATAAGCGTACGCGTTAATGACAGTCACATAGAGACTGTAAGCAGAAATCCGTCTTTACGAGAATGTTTTAGGTGTGTACGTTTCAATTGCATTTTTTCGGCACTTGATTCTTCGTTTTTTCTTTTGGTACAGCTTGAATATTTTACTTGTTTAGTTTTTCAAGTGCGGAAAGTGATAACAAATGCAATTGGTACGAACATACTTATTGTTATGTATTGTACATAATCGTGATATCATTCCGTTCTATTGTAAATCTCGGTAAAGATATTTTAATATGCAGTTTTCTACTATAAATACGAATATGGTTGGAACGTTGTGAACGTTGAAAAGTAGTAGGTCTATTCCTTTCTATTGTATATTCTATAGTATTACTGTACTACAGTATTTAAAAAAATAACAAATTTTCGTATTTTATCAATTCAACAATAATAATATGCATGAAAATACGATGTTCAGCAGTCTATAACTATCGAGTAGATATTATTAATTGATTTGTTAAACCTGACGAGTTCATAAGACTGACTGATTCGCCTTGGAATATATATTTCCTATTGTTCTCTACTGTATATAAGTGTAAGGTATAGATCTTCTATCTATTCTACTATACATGTAAGGAATGTACAAGTCAATATATAGCACATGTAGTTGTTTGATCGCAACACATTTTATTTAACATAAAGAATTCAATGCACAATGTTTTGCGAAAATTATTGAGCGATTCGTGTGACGTATAAAATATTGCATGTATACATACTGTCTGAATAATATCAGAAAATAATCTTCGAAGTTATAGATTATTTACAGGTGATATTTTACTTACAGCGATATTTAGCTTCAATACGATATTCAAATACTTTATGATAATTTTAGCTTTCTAACAAAGTAATAAGTACATGTCTCGTCTTCCTAATATAAAGCACTCGTTCATTAGGTGTAGTTAATTGTTATTGTTAATAAAAATGCGCGGAAGAAACTAATAAAGAATTTGATGCAAAAGACAAAGCTAATAATATATACAGTTATACGTTGCAAATATATTCCGTTATGAAATAACTTTTTGATATATTATTATATTCCTTCATGAAAGAGAAATAGTAATGTCATTTTTTTATATATAATATACATATATGTATTACAAAAATATACTAGATATATATTTAACATCATTTATGTAATTTATAGAGCTGCATTCTCTTTGTGTATTATCACAGAATAGTTTAAATAGTATTCGGTATACCACAAACAGAAATTACGTTTTTCAACTAGTACTATAAATTAATAAAGAATACGTTAAAAATGTACAATTGTCATTATAATCACGCCAGCTGATACTGTAATTATATTAAAATTGATGCAATTACAGATAGCGAATTATATTCAGGTTTCCAATTGATAATAAAATATAACTGCAGCTAATTAGGACAACATATTTCTCATTTTATGATTAAGAATAATCATAATTTATTGAAACAAAACAAGTTATTTGTTATTCGGTTGATCTAACAAAAGTATATAATAATAAGATAATATAATGCGTCATTTAAGTGTGCATCAAATAAAATAACAGAATTGTAGGAAACCTAATATGACAATGGTATATCAGGTGCATGATATTCATATCTTATTGTATCATTTTACGCATACTTTGTAAATAACTTATCGACAGAAATTAGGACAAAGATAATTGGCAGTTTTTCACAAATAAATCCAACTAAACTAGCTAACTTAAAACTAAGATAGTCCAATATTGGATCGATGCGAAAGTTTCATTGTTTTTTGCTTTAATTGACGTCATCGATTCTCGAATTCTTTGAGAAGCGATTGAAAAACTTCTTTCCACTTAGGAAAATTGTATGAAGGAATTATAATTATAAATTTGTTTTCGATTTTCCTCAACGAACGAGGAGCAGCAAAGAACTTTCGCAGTGATCTAACGCATTATTTCGCACGGCTAAATTAATAAACTAGGCGAAGAAATGCGCACTTGTAATTGCTCTAAACTCCGGCCTTGCGACACCGCCGCCAAGTGCCCATTTCCTATTTCATTTGAGATGCAAAGTATCTTTCATCTGCAGCGCGTTGCACAGTTTACTTCAGACGCGTGCCACGCACTGCGCTCGAGGACGCGCTCGATGACGGAGCGTGACTTTTGTACTCAGCAACGACACATCGGCTGCGAGCTACGAAGTGTGAACGACGCGGCGGATTTTATCTGAGATATCTCCAATAGGCTGATAAGAAAAAGATAACGGACATACCGCGTGCTTTTATTTTACGAAAGCAACCAGTTACGCGACTGTGAATCCACTCGCTATGGTTCGCGATCGTATGCCCGATTTACGTGCTGTTAGTATTTTATCTTTCTTTTTTCTTTATAGTCGTACTAGAGATATATATCGCCAACGAAGAGAAAGAACTCCACGATCGATCTGTGCACTTTGCCTTAACCGATAATTGCACGTGAGTCATGTGCGTGCAGAACTAGTTTTAATGCAGGAGATGTATTCTCCTTTTGACACGTTGACTGCCGGCGCGCAACTGACATATCCATTGATTGCACGAAAGTCTAAGTGAAGTTCCTTCTCCTGATGAACGTTATTACTAGTGCGCATAAATTAATGAATTAAAATAGAATGATTAATGCGTCATATTTGTACTTTAATTGTTCTAGAGCCGAAGTAACAGCAGCACCTTTGGCAGAGGATTCTTGCAAGACGTGCACATTCAAATAGCCCAAAATAAAAAACTCAAGGAATTGTTGGACGAAGTACGTATCGCAAAGAGCGCTTTAATGCGAAACAGCAACACAAACGAATTACAGTGGTGGTGGTGGTTTGGCATGTTTAATAAAGAGATAACACGTCGTGTTGATACAGGCAGAGGAAATCCGTGCACTGATCCACCTTATAGTTGAAAATACTTCGATCATAAAGGACTTGCAAAACAATATTCTGTCGCACACGAACAAAGGTAAGCGGCAACGACTCGGCTGCGAATTGCGGCATGTATTTAACTAACGTGTATGTGTGTGTGCGTTTGTTACATATTCGCAGATATACAAAAGGAACTGGAAGCTCGCACGTGCACGATCTCGCAGACGGCCTTTCGCGTTCAACGAAAGTTACGAGGTAGGCAATTTTGTACGTAGAGAACTCATAGAAGGATATGCAGCAAGCAAAAATGAACGTCCTTAACGCGAATCGCAACTACCACCTGCTCACGCTCCTCCTTGAAGTTTTACGCGGAGAACTGAACAACGGCATTCCTAGCTCGCTCGACGGTCTTTTGATTTGCAGAACGCAAGTGGAAGAATAGCTAGTGCTAGGACTTAAATTTTGAGCCAATCTTGGTGGTGTGCTGATACTAACGGTCGACTCTGAGGACAATTTTGTTAGTGACAACTTCTCCAGACGTACCGACACGTTACTAAATAACTTATCACAAGATGATGGGTCTTGTGAGCGGCTACTAGGACTTAATTTATCATATGTATTGTCTGGTGTCCATGAAGTTGAGGGTACTGGTGTTCGTTTGCATACGTCCGAATCCTTGTGGTTTATTGTGTGTGCCTTACGCGACGAACCGTCATCATCATCGTTCTCGGAAGTAATTTTATCCTTCAGTTTTCTAAAAAGTTATATTATTTTATGCTTTGTGTGTTCTGTAAATAACTTAATATCGATATGTTTAGATTTATTGTAAAGTCTTTGTACTTTTCGAAATATCAACAATTTTCTTTCTATAATTCTATATATAGGAGAGAGATTATAATAATGATTAATAATGTGAAAAATATTTTCAAGAAATCTTTTTTACTCCGAGTTTTAAAAAAATATTTAACATATATTTCATATTATCCCTCTTATAAATAATGAGATATCTGATTATAATATAATCATAGTTTTGTTACATTACGATTTTCTTTATACGTTGACTTAAGTTTACTGTTATACGGACTTCAGTTTACGATCAGCAGTTTAAAGTGCGTTAGGAACATTTTTGTGCGGAAGCTCTTAAATGGCAAAAATGATTTATCCAATGACTGTCGTTTGCTATTGCGAATTGATATTTCGAAATGTATACAAGATACTCGCACGAGTTGTATCAGAATAAGGAGATATAGTTCGTTTGCAAATTGATATACGTACCGGTGATAACGATCCATATCTTTTTCTAACTCAGGATATTCGTTCAGCAAGCTGATTAGATGCTCCTTGTTGTAATTCGAATAGACCTTGTGTAACAGTCTCTCCACATTGTTTTTCAAAGGTGACTTCGATGTGTTAAATTTTTCCTTCAATCTGATCAACGTGGGCAACAAACTGTCCAAGTGATGCTTCTTCAATTCTGCCAAAATGATAGCCATGGCGTTGCTGCTGTTCGTGGTAGTGGAAGTGCTCTGTTCGAAGGGATTCGTGGTTTCATCAAGTTCTGACGGATCATCCGTGTGCTTCTTCAGCTCAAGACGATTATTACCCATAATGAATAGTGTGTCTTGCAAGACGCACGCTCCTTCCTCTTTTTCAACGTCAATGGATTTGCCGTCGCATATCTCGCAAAGTATGTACTTGGTCAGTTTGACGGTCAGCTTGAACTTGGCGGGCGAATCCAAGTGATCCAGCATAAACTCGTAGATAATATTGCGCTTCTCTTCGTTCGCTTTTCCAGGTAACATCAATAGCTTCTTCTCTCTGTCGCGCATTCTATAGCCGCAGAGCGTACTTTGACTATGGTAATTGTTATAGTAGTATATACTCTCGAGGAACTGTTGCGAGATCAGCGTCTTGTTCTTCCGTAAGAGTCTCTCTTCCACCAAGAAGATCGTGAGTTCGCGTATCATGCTGTCCGGATCTGATAGCATGGTCAGTATGTGAAAGAAAAACGGCCCCTTCATCTTGATGAAATCCTCGAGCAGCAGTTGAATGAATATCACCACTATAGCCTCTCGCACGGCGGGATTCGGGTCCTTCGTGCTGATGCACATGTCCAGCAGATACGGCTCTACCAGAGCGGTGAATCTCACGCAGATGTCGGCCAACGCTTTCGCAGCGTTTACCTTCACGGCGATTCCCTCCGGTGAGTCCGTCTCTTGGCGCATCAATGTGCCGAATATTGGCGTGACCTTCTTCGCGATATCGCGATCTCTAAGCGCCTGTTGACAGAGCAACACCACCGCGGACGTCTTTAAACCCTTCGTCTCTCTCACGGCTTGCGGCAACGACTTCGGATCTAATAAAAGTTTTTGTAGAATCCGCAGCGACGATGATGAAATTCTATCGGTGCACAGGAGCGACGCATGGCCTAGCGTGAAGATGGCTCTCATCTTGAGCGTATCTTGCGTGTCACCTTCGTCGTCCTTGAGTATGTCCTGCAGCTCCGTTTCTGACAGCTTTATCAGCTCTGCCATGTACGTCTCTACGCAGCTTTTGCTATGGTATAAGTATTGTAGCACATTGCTGACAATGTCCAGGCATACGCTGATCAAGTTGAACTTGATCTCGAAGTGGCAGATGCGCTTGTAGAGATACTGATGAAGTTCCTCGAGGTTATCTCGATCCAAGCAGGAATAGGCGTGCCGTATAACGTGGAGGACCAAACTTGCATGGAAATCGTTCTTGCAGATGACGTCCTTGTAGTCGGCGATGTATAGCTCCATCCTCGGGATTTTCATGTTCTCAGCCAAAGCGGCCAACAGTATCCATGCGCCTATGGTGTTGTTGGTGCCGAGGTGTGACTGCAGATTCAAGATTACGGACTTCGTGACAATGCCGTTCTTCACCCACAGACTGCAAGCCTTTGACAGATGCTTCCTCATCCTCATATTGCTCAATTTATCCAGTATCCTCCATGGCAAGCTATTCGCATCGTTCGGTTTGTATGTCGAGGCGCAAGTTATCCTGTTGATCAATATGTCCTGCAGGCATTCCAACACTTTCTCCTGCACCTTGCTCTCGACATCGTAGATTTGCGGCATCACTGCCTGCACCCACTCGTGCAAGAGGTTCGGGTCGTGCGGGAAGTGTCCCAGGATCTCGGACAAAACGTGCACCGCGAACTGGCGTACCATCAACGTGGAGTCCCGGCAACGTTCAGTTATGGCGTTTATCGTACGCTTCACGAGTGAGGGGACCATGACGGTGAGGTTTTGTAAGATCTTCAAGCCACTTCGCCGCACCAATGCGCGCTCGTCGTTCAATCTGTCCAGTAACATGGCGATCAACGTGTCTGATCCCGGCAGTGGATCCGTGTTTTCGACCAGGGCCTTTATCAACTCCTTCAACGTGAGTAGCTGCTTGTTCGCGTCCGCAGCTTCGAACATGCCTTTGAGGATGTCCCTGTCGACGTCGTCATGGTTGCAATCGGAGAACAACGCAAATGTGGCCATTGCTCTTCCTTTCACCAAAGGCGAACGATCCATGCAGCGCGACAGCACGACGGCCACCAGGATTTTCCTTATTCTAATCTTCATGTCCTTGCCCAAATTATCGTACGATAACGTGTGTTCCGTTAACAGCTTTCCAATGATCTCTTGTGCGAACAGTCTGCAGGAGACCTTACTATTAAATGAAAACAGTATTATATCTTCGAGAAGCTGCAGTGTAACATTCTTGTCGCATATATTTAACAGTTTTATCACATTGACTGCTTGCTTCTGACGTATCTCTACTCTCTCTGGACAGTTAGTCATCAGCTGGTGCATCAGAGTCACAACTGCCTGTGTGGCTTTATTTGTGTTGTCCTGCAGCAGATCTTTGAGGAAGTATATAAATGACTCCTGCACCACTGCCATCGACTTTGCTGAATAATTATTGGTGTTGTAAGACAACAAATAAGGCAACATGCACTGAGCTATTAACATTATGGTTAGAGTAATATGTCCATGATTATTACTGCATAACTTCTCCAGAGCCATAAATGCTACCTTACACAATGAAGATACCATATTGCTCAATTGTGTGTTAATATTGTGCACCTTTGTGTATATTCCCAACTTTGTAATATCCAACAGTGTGCGTATCGTGATTTTCAAGGAATCTGTGTGGTGCTTTAACCCAAATGACTGGAGCATTGTGATAAGATCAGAGATAATATCTTTGATTTTGTCTAAGACCTTGAGTTTCTCAAAGTATGACATCATGCAATGATCCAATTTGTCATCATCGTTGCTGCAATTAATGTCTGTCTCCTTGACGTTATTTTCAGAGGAAAATATATTCTCTGATATTCTCAATGTATCCATCACTCGTTCATATAAGTTTGGGTGATATACACGAAAGGCATTGCTACCAGGTACCGTGAGAAGCATGAGATACAATCTCGTGGCTTCTAAACAAGCTTGCCTGGGCGCCTCGTCGGCGCTGACACGTTGACCGGTCTTCATTATGTAATCCAACACAGCTAGTAAACCCTGCACGTTGATGTCCAACATCATCAGCGTTTGCCATGAGAACTCGGACTCTTGCTGCTCGCGGTTCGCCGTGATCCACTTTTTCAGGTCCTGACAGCACGTGCGTAGCACTGATTGCGCCTCGTCGCTTTCGAGATACTCCAGGTAGTTGTCAGGTGGTTCTTTGTAGGTCGTGAACTCGGCGTCCCATACTGATTTGATCCAAGCCTCGTCCAGAATGTCCAAATTGAACTTGTGAAATACGCGCAGCGATTCCATTCTTTCGTGCGATCGAGTGAAATTCAAATCGCGCTCAAAATGCTGTCGTTATCATTTTTTGTCTCACGAATGAGCCGCTCACGCGTCAGTAAACATAACCTCAAACTTATCGTGCTGTGATAATGCGCGACGGGGCTTTCAGGTTATCATCTTCCATTTGTGTATCAATAATGATTTTACGGTTCTACCTCGTTTTGTGTACACGATGACGGGTATCTTTGTGGAAAATTTATCCTCAAACATTTCGTTTGTTATATTAGAGTTAGCGAAACGAGTAATAGCGTCCATGTAGAAACGAGAAACTGAATAACCAATCAATATATGAGCCGCTTTCAATGCATGTATATGTCTAACAGCATGTGTATATGTGTATATATATATGTGTATATATATATGTGTATATATATGTGTATATATATATGTGTATATATATATGTGTATATATATATATGTGTATATATGTGTGTGTGTGTATATATATATATATATATATATATAATGCATATATACCTACATATAGACAATTTCTATGTGGTTACACAACCTGTGTTATCATTCCATAAACAACTTGTCTCACAACATAAATAGTGTTCTTAAATAGCAAAAGTTTTACAAAAAGTTAGATCAAAAGGTAATTAATTATTTCATGTAAAGAATAATTTATTATCTAATACAAATTTGCATTCTTTAAAGTTTAAAAAATATAAAAATTTATATAAAAACAAAATTAAAAAATCTATATAGTTTCCAATACAATCTATAATATATAATGTGATGTATGTAATATGTAATAATTTGTTTTCTTCTATTTTCTATACTAAAAAGCATTTCTTTCAATTTTTTATTTTTAGATTTGGGAAAAGATATTACTGCCATTGACGATTTGACTGTAGCTAGTGCAAGAAATGGATCTGCATACACGCGAATTAAGGTTTTGCAATATACAACAATACTGCAGCTGTATTCTAAGATTATGGAGGACTACAATACATCATTACTTAGATATCACGATAAGTGCCTCCTACTCCTGCAGCAGCAACGTTTATTATGTACATATTCTTAAAACATTCTCATGAGTATAAAAAGATATATATGTATATATGTATATATATATATATATATATATATATATATATCTGCATTATTAATTAAATTGTTTATTTAGTAAGACGACAAGTAACAAGTGAAGAATTGGACCATATGCTTGATGCTCAAGAAACTAGTTTATTTGTCGACAATGTAAGTATGTATTGCAAACTTGTTATATAGTATTTATATATTACATAAATTCAATTTCCCTTGTATTTGTACAAGTATCTAATTAACAAATTATTTGCAGATTTTAGAAGACAGCAAAGTTGCACGACGACAATTGTCCGATATAGAAAGTAGACACAATGACGTCTTAAAGTTGGAAAAATCTATCACAGAAGTTCGAGACTTGTTCGCAGAAATGGCGATTTTAATCGAAAAACAAGTTAATATCGTTGTTTAGTGTAATTCACAAAATCAGAATTATAGGACATATTATAGAATAGTATGATAACAGATATGAAATATAAAATTTTGTTTGTACAGGGGGAACAAATAGATAATGTTGAATATTTTTCCAACAAAACGACAAGTAACATCGACGGCGGTCGCGTTCAACTCAAAAAAGCAGAAAAGAAAAGTAGTACATATAAGAAGGTATATATTTGCATATACACATTTAAAATATATTTAAATATGGTTTTATTTTGCAACATTGATATAATGATTACTTTTGCAGAGGAAAATCAAGATTATCATTATCATAAGCGTGATAATAATAATTATTCTTTTATTCTTTACTATCTCATCGTAAAAATCTTATAAAATATTTTATGAAATTATTTTATACAAGCTATACTTTATATGGATAATTTCGGGATTTATGATGTGAATATAAAAAATTGAAAAACACTTACGTCTGTGTCTTGTTAGCACACATGAGTTTTTTTTCAAAATATTTTACCAATACCTTTGCACTAGGTCTTAATTTATAATCTGTATTAGTACATATGAAGAATACTTCAAGCACTGTACTATATTCTTTGTCCAAATCAATAGAAGGTAAAGCTGGACGTGTACCTATAATTTCTCCTTTATAGCCAATTCATTTTTTAAGGTAAATTTGTTCATTCTTTAATACAGTTTCTAAACTGACTTATCACTATAACATATTGTTTATGAAATTAAAAAAGAACAAAGTATGATCAAAATTGCTTACCATATTTCTTGTTCATACATGGCATTATTCCTTCAAGAAAAGCATTCTCGTCCATGTCGTGATTAGAATCATTTAACGTGTCATCCATCATATCTGTTTTGTCAACTGTCTCATCAAGAGACTCATCCTCAGAAGTTTCTGTATGAGGTGGTGACAAGGCTATCATTTCCCAAATAACAAGACCATATGTCCAAATATCAGCAGTGTTAGTCACAGGTCCATTCTCTGTGAGGAAAGAAATAAAATAAAAATTAAGATTTTTAAAGAAGTCATACAGTTCAAAATGTATCATAAGCTGAAAAATAGATTTCAAGATGAATGAAAGTTTTTATAATAATTAGATACTTTTAGCGATAATAAATCTTTTAATTGAATGAATTTTATATATTAAAAATTATTTAGTAATATAACTTGAAATACCTTGTATAACCTCAGGAGGATTCCAGCATTCTGTTCCAATATAAGAAAAGTTGCCTTTTGATGTGTTCAGTTCTAAAGATTCTGTCAATGGAAGAGAATGCCCAAAATCACATAGTTTAACCACATTAAAATCATGAGAAATTAAAATATTTGCACTCTTTATATCTCCATGTAATATGTGTGCTGTATGATGTAGATATTTCAATCCTTTTGCAATTTCAAAACTAACTTTCATAATATCCTTGGCTGGATACGGTTCATCATCACCAAGCTCATATTTTTGTTCAATTTTGTCACCTAATTCATAACACAAATATTATTATAAATACTATATTAATATCATTCAGTATTGTATCAATACCTAGTGATATATCCAAAGCTTCCATGGCTAGACAATATTTCCCATCTACTCCAGTAGTGAATGCTCTAAAACCAACAATATTGGGGTGATTCAATTGTCGTAGAGTATCAGCTTCTAATTGAAGACGTTCATTATTTGCTTCATTGTTTTTCCCCTTCAACCATTTTTTTATTGCCCAGGGTGAACGAATAAAGCCAACTTTAGGCGATCTTTCCAACATGTATACAGCAACTCCTAATGAAAAGCATAAGAAATGGAACAGGATTCTATGAAGAAAACAATTACTGTAGAAACCATAAAAAAACCGCTAATCATAACAATGTTAGAATAATTACAATAGAATCATAATACAAAATGACAACGATTAATTGAAATGTTGATTATTTAGATGTTAATATACAATAATGCCTTATAAAGTATGTGAAGAACATACCAGTACCATAGCCTATTCGTTCCAGGAAAGGCGATGCTGGTATCTTGATGGGAGTTTCTAATCCAGCATTATCCGTCAGTCTGCTTCTGTATCTTACCGAGGTAGGGGTCTTGAATCCAGCCATGTGTGTGAACAAAATTGAGAAAATCGGCAGAAGAAAATGAACAAAATAACATGCGTAGCAGAACCGTTGACTTTTCAAAATACTCAAACTTTTCATGCGCAAGCGTACTTGCACAGAAGAATTTACTTTCTAGGGACTTTAGTTGGTGACTACGTTTTACGGCAATTTATACGGTTTAATAAGTCCCGATCTACAATAGCTGATTTAAGCCCTAAGCTTTAAAAAATTGAGCAATCACAATTAAATTTGAGAAGAATAATCGACTGTAATTAGTCAATTTCTTAAGGCTTTACTACACCTATTGTAGATCGGGACTAAAGATTATTCTATATTAATCGCAAATCGCAAGACTGCAAAGAAATTGACCAATCATAGTCGATTACCCTTCGATCGCAAAGGAAATAATCAACTGTGATTAGTCAATTTTCCTGCGACCTTGAGATTTGCGACAAATGTACAACGACCCTACAACTGTAGTGATCTCTTGCATCCGATTCTTATATTCTTTTAGGTCTAAAAGTATATTCTAATTAAATGCAAGAGTTTACATTAACTGCGGTTGTTATTAAACCGGATTAATATTGCGTGTAACAGAATTCATTGACATTTCTGTTTCTTAAATACATTATTTTATTTGATATTCTGAGTTTTTTTGCTTATTTGCATAATTAGTATAGTAATATAGAGCAGATATCGGCTGAAAAAATGAATAAAATTACCTACATTAATACCAATGATTCAAATAGAAAGTATTCTGTAGTAATTTTACATTTCCTACTATTGCAGGATTGATATACCCCCACGCAATGTTGGCAGCATTTACTCCTGAAGGCAGTCGCTCGCTTCAAAAGAAACGAAGCAAAGATGGACTCCTAAGGAATTTTTGTACACGGCAGTCGTCCGACTTTGGATGTTCCCACGTAAAATTTCGCTGAAGCCAGACGGACCGTTCTTTTATGACCAAGCTCACGTCATAAACGATGATCGTGCAAGAGCCAGTGCAGGTAACGAGTGTCGGCCCTTCGTAGCCCGTTGTTGCTGTGTGACGTGCGGATTTATGTGTCGGGCCGCATCGACATTCACTATTGACGTCTTGCTAATCGCGGAAACCATTCGCAATTTTTTGCCTGCTTTTAATTTTGCCTGATAGTTGCATTGACGATCGTTTTTCATGAGATTGTTCCACTGAAATTCTCGTTATGGATTTTTTTCCCGTCTATACTTTGACTCTGAATGCGCGTCTCCGGGATGTTTGCTTTTCTGCAAGAAAACAGCAAGGCGGTGGGGGTTCTGGCTATAAATAAGTACGAAACTTCATCGTATTTACGGATTTTGATAGGCTTTTGTCTGATAACGTACGGCGTACTGGTTGTACGACCGATGAAGATGCATTAATGCTCCTGGGAATTGTCATTTTCAAACTTGTTTAGTATTTATTGTGGTTTGACAAATTGGCAAGAATCAACAACTCGTTACTTTGTGCATGCAAATTAACAGATTTGAGTGGTGGGCTCAAAGTAGCAAGGCATTACTATTTATGATTAATTGTGCAGCAAAAAATATATATTGATTATGTTATACCTTATCTTTTTCAAAGAATAATGGATATGGTGTTTATATAGAGAAGATTCATGGTGCTCTCCTATAGCTGTATATGATACTTTAAAGTATAAAGAATATTTCCAAATTAAAACTATTTTAGAGCATGTAGTTAATACTTTTATATTATAGTAAATATAGTGTAAACACTATATTTTGTTTCCAGGCAGCCATATGGCATTGTTTGAATCATTATGCTTATCCAGATGCGATATTCCTGGCAGAAAGACTATGTGCAGAAGGTAAATTTTAGTTCTTTTTTTTTTAATATCAGTACTTTGCAATGATTATGTATTTACATTGGTATGCTTTAACAGTGGACACAGAGGAAACATTATTTCTCTTGGCAACATGTTATTATCGTTCTGGTCGGGTTAGACAAGCCTATGCCTTATTATCCCAGAAGGCACGTAATTCGGCACAGTGTAGATTTTTATTAGCAAAATGTTGTTACGATCTGGAAAAGTGAGTAACGTTAAATCTTGTGTGTTTCTTTATTAGATATAAATATATTTCGAGAAAATATTAATAAATTAATTAAATTATTAATATTAGTTTTCTTTGATATTTTAGACTTTCGCGATGTCCATACATATTAGATTTGGTTTCTGGATCTGAGTTACATAGATTCTTCTTTATTTGATTTCGACGTTTCGTGAACATTTCAGTCCGCTTCATTAGCGAGGAACGACCCGATTCCTCTCTGATGGAGTGGCCTGGAATGTTCGCGAAACGTCGGAATCAAACAAAGAAGAATTCATGCTGCTTAAACCCGGAAACCAAATCTAATAATTAGTTTTATAGAAAATGGTAAATGTGTTAGATAATTAATATTTTTAATTATAAATTAATGTCTTGTTTAAAAATTATTTAGGTACGCAGAAGCAGAAGCTACGATAATTGGCGGGTACTACAAACAATTAAAGAATTTGGAAGAAATAATAACGCAGTTTGGGGAACAAGCATGCTTTTCTCTTCAAATCATGGCGAAGATTTATTACAAAATGACACGCACCACGAGAGGCAACGAGGCGCATAAACTAGCTTTAAAACTGAATCCGTTTCTCTGGCACTCTTTCGAGGAACTCTGTAACGTCGGCGAGAAGGTAGATCCCGCTAAAGTCTTTCAGCTGGATAAATTAGATTCGTTTATCATGTGCCATGGTACAGCCTCTACATGGGACTATGTCGCCGAGCCAGATCTCATTGTACCTGGAAATAACAATGCCAACAGTACACCTATGTCAAATAGCACTAACATGTATGTATTGCACGTATATATTACTGTAGTTGTCTCCATATATTTACCCAGATAGATAGATGTACATAAATTTGACAGCAATTTTATTAGTTAATCTGTAAAGATTGCATTCTTTATGAATGGTTCATGTGGCACTCATATAGAATAACAATATAGAAATATAAAGAAAATATAAAAAGTATGGTCAGAATTTGCTCAGACTATATGTTGTGCAAAATGTAATACAAAAATGTACATATAATCTTTATTATATCTTCGTGTTGGTGTTACTATATCAGTATAACAAAACATTATTGCACAATGTAAATTTAATGATTAATTCAATACACAATATATTTGTCTTATAAACGTAATTAAAACAATTGTAAAGTTTTCATTACCAATTGTCTCATAATAATAATCATAAAAGTCTGCAGCTATTGTTGATATTTTATATATAATTACGATCTCATATAATTTAATATTTTATATAATTTCTCTTGTTTTACTCATTCATAGCACACCCGTGCAAGTGACGGCACCGACGCTGATAAATGGTGGTCAGGTGCCACAAATACGATTATCTTCTTCTATGGAGGAGAGTCCACAAAATGTGCCCATTCACTGGAGCAACTGCTCCTCGATATCACCAAAAACTAAACTGTCGCGTTATCGCAACATGTTTAGCAATCCTATGAGTCCACTTACACCCAGTTTCGGCATCTTGCCGTTGGAAAGCAATACACCCGAACCGACCGTACCACCCACACATACAACTCTCACGGAAGCTAACGATCAGAAAAGTTTGGCGAAACGTGTGAGGGCTCATGTTGGGGTAAGTGCAGTTATGATTTCGTTGTCCGTGTGCTCTATACAATCGCTTTTTTCTACAATCTTTTTTTTCTTCGAAATAAAAATGCACTTCTATTTGTTTCCTTGATTTATTGAAATTTAAATCAAACGTCCTGCTTACTTTCAGCAATTAATGTCGAGAAAAGAGACACCTTTGCAACAAGGTAAACCGGTTTTTTCTCAGTCAGGCAATGCAAGCAATACTGCCAATATCGTGACAGTGACCGCTACTCCGACACCTCCGTCGCCGACGCTACAGGGAACCAACGTTAGACGTTCGTCACGGCTTTTCAGCCATCACCACTATTCAGTGAAGGTATATATTTTACTTTTTAAATTTTTCTATTTCGTACTGGCACTCGTTCGTTATATCTGACAGATACATAAAAAAAATATATATTTTCTTTTTTTAGGAAAACAATAAGTCACCCAATAGAAATAAATTCGCCACTCCAAAGTCTCCTTCTCGGAAAACGAAAGCGAGACTCGCCAAGACGAATCTAAACAAGACTAATTTTGAGTTAAACGAGAGAAATAGAAACGAGAAAGAAAAGAGCGAGACTATCACGTCAGAGAAAGCTATCGCTAATACAAATGCGCTAAACACACAAAGTAATAATATTCATTGCGCAGTAACGTTACAAAAGCAGTGTGCAGGTACGCTGTTTGTATATTCTTTTATATTTTATTTTATTCACTTATATATATTGTCTATTATCAAAAGAATAAGGATTTATTTTATTGATGACTTTCAGAGGGTTTGATGTCTTTATTACGAGAGTTAGGTATAGCGTATCAGCATTTGAGTCAATTTAAGTGCACGCAGGCTATTGAAGTACTGAATATACTACCGACACAGCATTATAACACAGGTTGGGTACTCTCTATGCTGGCCCGTGCGCACTTTGAGATGATGGACTACAAAAAAGCTGCTAGGTAATCATTATACGTCTTATTGTTCAAGTGATATTCATATTGAATAGAAATATTAAGTTTTGCCCGTATCTTTTGTAATTTTTAAACTTTTTGCGCTTAAAATATGCATTTCTATTTTTAATTCTTGTTTCTCAGTTATATTTGTATATTTCACTTTTCCGTGCACAGTTATTTCGCCGAAGTGCGGCAATTGGAGCCACAGAGGATGGAACTGATGGAGATTTACAGCACTGTTCTATGGCATTTACATGCAGAAGTGCAGTTATCTACGCTTGCTCAAGATCTGGTCGCTCATGATCGTAATTCAGCGGCCGCATGGTGCGCTACGGGCAATCTTTTCTCGGCGCAAACGGAACATGAAACAGCGATCAAGTTCTTCCAAAGAGCTATCCAAGTATGTTCTTATTTTATTCTAGTCAGAGCTCGTTGAGAATCGTTGAAGATCAAAGTAAAAAAATTCGAACAAATTCTCTTCAATTTTAAGAGAATGAAACCAACGTTACTCGTGAATAACAAATAATTTATTTATTCGTGTACAAATTATTAATCCGAATAAACTTATATATGACACAATAGAATCAACGCATATGAATGTATTCATTATCTTGAATCTCGACTAATAATACTTTGATATTGTATAGGTGGACCCCAATTTTCCTTACGCCTACACACTATTAGGACACGAGTATGTATTGACCGAAGAATTAGATAAGGCAATTACTGCATTCCGCAACGCCACCAGGCTTGATCCTAGGCATTATAACGCATGGTAAATTTTCAAGAAAAAACGTAACACACACAGTCGCGTTACACACAGTTTTTTTTTAATTAATATATACGTCCTCTGAACTTGTATATGTTTAAAATGTTTTCGTGTGTTACAGGTTTGGACTGGGAACGATATATTCGAAACAGGAACAATATATTTTAGCGGAATTACACTTTAAACGGGCTTATAAGATAAACCCGCATAATTCCGCAATAATGTGCCACATAGGTGTCGTGCAACATGCTCTAAAGAAAACCGAGCAAGCGTTAAAAACACTGAACACGGCGATAGTTAACGATCCAGATAACACCTTGTGCAAGTTCCATCGTGCGAGCATCAACTTCTCAATTGGTCGACACGCGGAAGCTCTCCGAGAATTTGAGGAGCTAAAGAATATTGTACCCAAAGAATCTCTAGTCTATTATTCGATAGGAAAGGTAAATACCAACTATTTATCGTTGAAAATGCTGACATATTTAATTCTGGATAATTTTCAAGTGTAAATTTATTTTTAATACAGGTACATAAAAAATTAGGCAATACGCATCTTGCATTAATGTACTTTAGTTGGGCAACGGATCTAGATCCGAAAGGTGTTAATAGTCAAATTAAAGAGGCTATATTGAGTCCAGGACAAGGGGATGACGATTCTCCGGCGACGCAATCAGGTACTGTTGAACACCATAGTATAAAGAATACCAGGAAGAAGTAAAAAAATTTTTTGTTAGAAATGCGAAGGATGTGACGTAGTGAAAGTGAACCAAATGCGACTATCGATACTATAAAATCGAAATAAATGTTATGACGTAATATTGTCAATTAATCGAATAGACAAAGGTGCGTGAACGTATTGAAGAGAAAATTATTACAAGTGACTAATTTTATTTCCCTCACCAATATAAATATATAAACAAAATATAAATATAATTTTTCTATTATTCTTTTAAAATTAATATTCCTTTGCTATATATATACTTCCAAAATGTTTAAAATATACCGCTAGACTGTGTTTCCGGTGACGTCATTTATGACGCAGCCACGTCATCAAACAATCAATGCAACACCATCGATTACCCACGATATATCGCAATATGTTCCTTCTTGGTATTCTTTATTCAATGTTGAATACAAAGCGGCAGATTTTCAAAATGTTTATTTTTTCAAATTTTATAAAAGTGAAACAGTATAATTTATATGAGCTCTTATTTTCGATGTTTCCGGCATCGAAATACTGATTTTATGCTAATTATCGCGTTTTACTTATTCCTGGATAAATATAAATTGTAAATAAATTGTGAAAATTCTGATTGTCTCAATCCTTGCCTCGATATAATTCGCATCAAGGATATTATGAGATATTGCGCATTTATTTAATGTGCTGATATAATTGTATTTTTGCAGAAGAACAACAAGCACAAAATTGTTCAATGGAACAGGAAGTCGAGACGAGTAGAGAAGGATGCTCTGCGCCTCTCGCCGGGAATGTTTCCGTCGAACCTCCTGCCGATGACAGCGATGACAGTTTATGAAAACGTCGCACTGTGTACAAGAAGAAGGCTGCCGTGAAATAAAGCGACAATTCGTAGCGCATCGTTATCCCTCGTGTCTGGTCACGCAAATCGTTCTTTACCTGATCTGGCGCTTTACAGAATCGGTAAAAGGTGGCGTTCGTCAAATTAAGTTCAGCAATTGCCCATATTGTTGCGAACCAATTTGTAAAGGATTCGATGGAAGAGAGCCCATTGTATCGTTTCTCCGCGGATTCATTTCCTTTGCACGAGTTGGAAATCCTTAATCATACAAACGCGATGCTCTCACCCTCGTGAAAGGGAAGTCATGTCGTATCACTCTCTATCGACTTGTACATTAATATACGCGTTCATTTCTGTACATTTTTCTTTCTTTTTTTCTTTCTACCATTCTACTTGGTCATCCTTTATATTTTTTCGTTCTTTCAATCATGTCTCTTGTGCCTCGTTCCGTTGCGGGCTAAGTCCCTCTGAGTCGGACGAGACTTAGAAACCTCGCGTCGCTAGAAACTCGACGATGTCGATGTTGCGTCCGATTTAAGCATAGCTCGGCCCTAGAATAAACCTAGGGATCTAGTCCTCACACTCAGACAAGGTATTAGAGATTTACGATTGATGAGTAGAGACTGTATCGCATCGCGAGAAAATGAACGAACGTAACCATAAGCATGTCGTATAGTTAGATAATGTAATTAATTCATCATTTAAGGAAAGGAATGAAGTCTTGTGTAAATGTAAATTATTATTATTATGTAAGGCTCTCGCGTATATTGAAAGTCACCGTCCATTGTGACCGGCTTTCTTAATCGTTTGCTGGCAACTTGAAAATCGCGAATAATGGCATTATTTGAAATCACTTCATCAGAATAAACGAGCCGGCCATGAGCGACGTTAACTTTTGAGCCCTGATCATTACTGTGTATTTACCGCAATCTATTATTATTATTATTAGTGCTACCATTGCTATTATTATCCGTACGATTATCATTGTTGAGTTAGTGATTATGGGAGGTACCGTTGGCCATCGCTGCGTTGGCTGGTGGCCGTTGTTGGACGATCGTGCAATTCTCGTCGTGAAGTAAAACCCTGAGTCGATCGAAACATGCGAGTCCGAACCATGGTGATTACGGCGATTCGTCTGTTAATCGCGATCATGCTCGAGACGCTTTTGGCCTCTTGTTTCTCTTTCTCGCGATCTCTGATATCCAGAAATCATCGTAATCCTACTAACTTGGCAAGTGTCTATATGTACACACATAACGCGCGTCGCGGATTGTATATTCTCAATTGTGCGGAAAGCAGTTTCGCGTTCACGATGCCGGTCTTTGTGAATTGATATTAAGTGTACAACGTAAATCGCCAATTGTTGCTAGTCGCGAGTTTCGTTCGAGTTTCTCGGAGCGATACACATATTGCGTTTCACTCCAGTGCGGCATATACGCAATCGTATATGTCGTTCGTCTCTGTATCGCAATCGGCGCGTGTATCGCACGGCGGAAGTGCACGCGCAAGAAGTGACTTGTAACGTTTTATATTGTACACGGAATTAAACGGAAAACGTCAAACGGAAAAGAAATAGAGAAGAAGTTGTCGACTGAGAAATATGTCTATGTGGTATGAGCGTGTCAAGCGCGTGAATATTTCTTATCTCTCCTCGCTCGTTTACCTCTTCCTATTTCTCTCTTTCGTTCGTTTAATTAAGTTATTTATTTATCTCCTCGCATCTGTGTTTTCTTTCCGTGCCAGATTCATCCGCTCCATGAGGTAGGATGAAAACGGAACGAGTTCTTATGTCTAGCGTTTAACAAGGCTGCGACTGATCGATTTTCATTATTCGATCCCTGTTCACGAGTCTCTGATAAAAGAAGAAAAGTCTTTCCGAAATTATATTTACGTGATACACAAATACACGTACATACATATATATACTTTATTGTCAAATGGAGACAAAGTCGCATGTATCTTCCGAACATTTGTAGAAAACAATTATGTGTATATGATGTTCGCTAGTTTCTAACCCAGCCTTCGCGATTATAAAAATGGAGAAAATTCAATTAACATCAACGATCGCTGCCGTGTTACTCGTTACAAAGAGGTGTATGCGCAAAAATAAAGGCCTGCACTTTTTATGGAACGCACGGTTTTCACGTTTCAGTGACATTCCACCTGTCCTGCTCTGCACTGAAATATACATGTTTGAGTAATTATCGGCACGAGCTTTTGTCAAATTGTTAATTAAGAATACATTACAAGTACGTTTCAGTGCACAGATTGGTGGCCTTCTACAATGTTTATATATTTTGTATTATTTCACATACCACCGAAGAAATAGCTAAAGACAATTGTTAAATTGTGACGTCTAAGCTATCAGATAATCATGCGCTATAATAATTAACAAATTAGAGAATTTGTTCAAATCTAACGAAGTTTAAAGTCTTTTCGAGACTTTGCCGGCTAGTTAAATTTGCAATTGTTACCGTTAAAGTAGAACGTCAATACCTATTCTTTTATCCGTGCTCAGCACGTATTGCTGGAACTCTTTAGAATCGATTCCGAAGAATTCCATAATACATGCCCTGATTTTTCAAAGAAATATTACTCTTTGTGTAAATATATTTAATAGCGGCAGTAAGTGTTTAAAAAAATTAATGAAAGTGAAAGTTTAATGAAGTAAACAGTTGAAATATGAGTAATAAATCATATAATATTGAATTGATAATAAAAAAAAAAATAATTTGATTTCTTTAATCGACAGTCGTGATACACCGATCCTAAGTTTGAAAACTGGCGCTAAAAAATGGCGGAGAGATTATGCTAGGGAACTTCTCGAGTTACTATAGAGAAAGTTGGTAACGAAAGAAAGTGTATAACGCGCTTTTATTCAACACGTTTCAATTCATATAATTTCCACCATTTTGCACTGATTTGAAGTGATTTTGTGATCTGCAATTTGCAGATTTCCCGTTGAAGAAATTTCAAAGACATAACAAATTTTCTGGAATGATGTCGATAACATGTCGCTAAAAATTTCCGACAAACATGAGTGTCCAAATAATCGTGAGCGATGTGATGAATTATACAACAGTCGCGAATTACAATTCATAGGTATCTAATACAGTTCACAAAATTGTGCACAATTTACAATTTAATTAACATTAAGTTTATATGATTTCAGAGCTTGCATGTTATAAATCATCACGATATATATGACATAAATCATCTTCAAGAAAGTTTCCAGTAGAAATACGATGAAAAGATGTTTATTCATGAAATTGTTGGTAAGTGTAAAGAAAGATTAAAGAATATGAGATGCATTTTTAGCAATTCTATTTATAGATTTTATTATAGAAGATATCATATCTCTTTCTCTTATATACATACAGAAGCCTATAATCTCTTCTATGTCAAATCTCAGATAACAATTGAATTTTAATCTTTGATATTTAAAATTTTGCATGTATTTAATGGTATTATAATAATATATCATTGACATATCTTAGAAGTATATCTAAGTATATCTTTGATGATCAATAGATCAAAGAAGATTTATTTAAACCTGATATCTGATATTTCAGTTGTTCATGACTAGTTTTATGGTTGCTGACATCAAAATAGAGTGTAGGTATGTATATCTGTTATCAGTATCAGTCATGCAGATTACTAGTGCTGCTTATAAAACATGTGATTTACGATAAGTATTTAGGTTGAGTAGGAAAAGGTAACCAGTTACTGCCGCACCAGTTGCAAGTTACAACTTATAGGTCTTGGATGCAGTTAAATTTCTGTAATACTTAGAATACTATTGATATTAATTTTATATATTTTTATGAGATGTGTGTGTGAGTTTGATATTATTAATTAGTGTGAAATACAAGAGAGATCAGAGTTCTAAGTTGAGTTTTTTTTTATTTCTAACAGAAATAAAGTAGAAAAATGTCTGTCTGCGAGACTGTTGAAACTGGTAAGTGTAGAAAAAAGTACAATATACTGAATTTCTAAATTTACATATAAATGCTTTTATATAAAGAACATTATCTTATATTATTAAATAATTAAATTATTTTATGTTATTCCATTATCATAAACTTATGTGATATATATTGCAATCTTTTAAGACTGTTCTCCATATATATATTCTAACCTATTCTATCTCTTTTTACAGTGCTAGGATCTACATTGCTATCTGAAATTGGTATAACACTAACACATGAGCATGTGCATCTTGATTTTAATGAATTCTATGTTCCTCCACCAGCAAATTTACAGAGTTTTCTGGATAACAAAATCAATCTGAAGAATGTTGGATATATTAAACAGTATCCGTAAGTCAGATCAAATTCTTTCTCATCTCTGTATTTTTCAACACATGCTAAATTTTGAGATTAAAATATGTATAAGATTTAAAAAAAGAGAATGCTAAAAAATTATTCTAGTAAGAAAAATATTAGTGTTAGTACACAGATATAATATTTTTTAATAGTAATAAAATAATTTAGCAAATGTATAACTATATGCAATATAATATACTAATATAATTTCTCATTTTATAAAAAAGAATTCTTAAGACTAGAGTTGATAACATCTTATTAAAGAAACATTTATCTAAAATTATGTGTAATATTTTGACAGATTTTTTACTCTGCATATCTTATGTTGTCACTAAAACTCAATTTTCTTCAATTAGATATAGCAATAAGTATAATTTGACATTTAACGATGCTGACTCAGCACAAGCTGTCATTGAAGATGTAAAGTCATTTTATACATTTGGCGGTAGAACTATTGTGGAAAATAGTAGCCATGGTTTGAATCGCAACATTCCTCTCATGGTGAAAATTAGTGAGCAGACTGGAGTTAATATTCTTGCTGGAACTGGTATGGTTATATTGTTATATTTTTGTCAATAATGTTATTTCTTCTATTATTTTAGATAATACAGAATGCCTTAAATTATTTAATATACTTTTAATTATATTTTAGATTTTTTACATGTCCTTTAAAATTAATTTTTCAAGTAATTAAGATAAAATTCATTAAAATTAATTATTCCCTAACAACATAGATGTCTAGGGGATATCCAAAGTACATCCTGAGGAAATCCTGAAGACATTTCTTCATCCTCAGGATGTCCTTAGGACAACCTCAGGAGATCTTATGCTGTCTGGGTTGTTATCACTATATTGTTTTATTACATTATATTCGTAATTCGACAGGATATTATGTTGCCAGTGTACAAAATGCATCAACTCTTAAGATGACTAAAGAAGAGATGTATAATGTAATGTGTACTGAGTTGCAGAAAGGTTGCATTGATTATCCTAAAATAAAAGCAGGGTTTATTGGAGAAGTTGGCAGTAGTTGGCCAATTACAGGTAAATAGCTATATATCATATTATATTTAGAAGTATCTAAATTGCATTTCTGACATAGATTTTGAAAAACGTGCTATTTGTGCGACTGGCGAGATTCAAGAGCAGCTGCGTTGCTCAGTGAGCTTTCATCCTGGAAGAGACAAAACAGCACCCTCTGAAATAATGCGACTCTATCAAGAAGCTGGAGGAAATGCTCGCCGAGCTATCATGTCCCACGTCGATCGTAATACTTATAATTTTTTCTTTTTTATTAAGTTATTTTGTTATCAGAAAGTTGTTTGTTATGAAAAAAATAACTTTATTAATCAAGTAAATTTTTTGTAGGTACGTTACTTGATGTGGAGGCGATAATAGAATTTGCTGAAGCGGTCGAGTGTTATTGCCAGTTTGATCTCTTTGGTACAGAGTGTTCCTTTTATCAGCTCAATCCGATGATCGATATGCCATCAGATGCACAGCGTATGAAATGTATCGCGCGACTAAAAGAGGAAAAGCAACTGCATCGAGTGCTCTTGAGTCACGATATTCACACTAAGCATAGACTGGTATGTTTATCTTATATAATGTCTTTATTTGTTTCCCCATAATTTACTTTAACTCTTAATTGCTTTTTTTCATCAATATTGTTTATCGTCAATATGTTAGCTTTTATGATTAAACAGTCGGCTTAAATTGTAATTAAAGTTAATCATAATACTTGTAAAAATGTCAATAATTAAATCCTAACGATTGAACGTCTGGAATTACTTTCTTAATTTTTTAGACAACATTCGGTGGTCACGGATATTCTCATATCATGAATAATGTTGTGCCAGTATTGAAAAGCAAGCACTTCACGACGGAAGAGATCGAATTGCTGACAGTGGGAAATCCTAGAACGTGGCTTAGCCAACATTTATAAGCGAGTGCAAATATTAGGCTAAAATACATTGGCGACGAGTAGTCAGGAGACGGCGAAACATGTTAAAACAAGGTTGTTTAAATATTTTGTTGGAAGACTCATATATTACAATATATATATAACATTCTTTTATATTATTAATCTTTGATTTTTCTATTGGCTGCGCCAATAAATTTACAAGTTGCGTAATAAAATACATAACAAAATAACTACAGCAGTCTGTTATAATTGTAGTTTTAATTGTTATTCGTATCTTAAATATATCGAAGATAATACGAATCGCATTCTATTTACAATACATAATTGTTTTGTATGACAACCTTTGGTAGAAAGTCGGCATTCGGCGAATAATCTGTCGAAAATGCCCCGAAAATTAAATACGCGTGCAATAATATAATCTTCGCCAACTTTCGTTCTTTAGCGAACGAATAGTTTACAAGTGCTGTTCCCTAGTAATAAACAAGGTTCTTTCTAGGTGCGAAGATCATGCGAGAAAAGGCTCGGTAACACAGTCTTGCTGTTACAAGCATTTCAGCTCCTTCCTCCTGTTCCTTCCCGTCTCTTCTTTCTGCGACAAGGGACATCTGTTCTCTTCAAGTCGCCGACATCAGCTGCTGACTCGATCTTTCACGGTTCCTCTTGAAACTGCGAATTTCTCACAGGATTCATGGCAATAGAGACCGTTGACACCATCGTTTTGCTGAAGTCCTTTGAATAGTCTGTGAGCGAAGAATAGAATGATTATATTTTGAAGACGATGCGTAATTTAACTCATGTTGAATACATAAAGATAGAAGTGTTACAAGAGAGAATAGCGAAGCAAGCTATATATTTATGAACAGTAGCAGATTTATGCTTCGCGAGATATTGTAAAGTTATAACACATGTATACAAAACAAAAATATGTACGTAACAAAAATACGTACAAGAATCGAAAAAAGGATAATAATCAAATAATAAAAAAAGAGAAACTATCGCACATATAGTGTTGTAACATGTAATATTTGTGTAATTTGAAATCAAAATTCATAATATTTTAAAATTTCTATCAATTTTTACATAAATTTCCATAAATTTGGTGACTTTTTACTGCAAAATTTGAATCATAAATCTGTCACTATGCTCGAATCTATAAGCAAGACATTTAGACATTCAAAAACTGCATTCAGGCTGTATTAAATCAATAAGCTTGGCGAAAGATATGATGATCTTGTTAATATATTAATTCACGGTCAGAAGACGCGCGGCGGTTCGACGTTGCTCGCACCTACACCAATTGGAATTATGAACGTGTTATAACGTCAATGCTGCAATTAAACGATTAATGATTGAGGAATGCGATTAATTGTTGTTAACAAATACACAAATCGGCCAGCAATTGTAGAAAGCAGCGAATTGGTGCCCTTAACTTACAAAGTGAGCGAGTGGTCGCTTAGCTCGCGTTCGGTCAGAGCTTGGTGAGAGTTACCACGTGACGGTGCTCGAAGTTACCTTGGGCGAAGTCCTGCTGAGCCTGAAGACCAGCACCCGGCGCGCTGCTGCCATACGGGGTCAGGCTCACCCTTATCCACGAGCAACCGATCGCACCGGCATACGCTTGCCGGTACTGCTTGTTCATGATCACGTAGATGATCGGATTCACGCACGATGCAAAGTACAGCAGCAAGTATCCCAAAACGTGAAACTCTGTGACAATTTAACAATACACACACAGTGTTGTTTAGCAGATAATAGTAAGTAGTCACAGGTGCACCATGAAAAATAATATTGAAAGGAAAAAATATATTTATGTATCATACACACAAAGTAACGATAATAGTTAAGAGGAAAATAATTAAAAGACAGAATAAATTTTCTTTTCGTATTTTAATGACTTGGTTTTCACTTTAAATGTGAAGAATAATGTGTGTTTGATTTGTGTGACAGATAATATATATTCACCGGGATATCTGACTTCCGGATCGGTCACTTTGACAATGGTGATCGGTAGATAGCACGCGAGGAAGCTGAGGAAAATCACCAACACCATCTTGGTGATCCTCCATTCGCTGCGCTTCTGCTTGATCTCCTTGATGTCCCTTCCGGGAGTGTGAGGTGACTTGATCGTCGGTCCCGCGTGTTTTCGCATTCTCGATTCGGACCTACAACATTAACGGAATTGCGATCAGTCGACGTGACACGAGCGGACAAGAAGCGGAAAGAGAGTCACGCGATGCTTGAAATGTGGTTTACTTGTGCACCACCCAGAATATCTTGGCGTAGCAACCGACTATCACCACGCATGGTATCAGGAAGCCCATGACGAAGAGAAACGTCTTAGAAGTACGGCCATAACTGTCCTTAACGATGGAACAGGTTTCCAGATTAGGATCGTAGTCGAATTTACCTGATAAATATGCAGATAAGCAACTAATGAGTTTTTTTCCGCTTTCAAACGAAGTGGTATGTTAGTCTCGCTAATCTTCATGTAATTTTCATCGCAATCTTATAATCAACAGAGCATCTCACCCCACACTTTCAATAACGTAGGTATCTGCATTCCATAGGAGAATATCCAGCAGAAGATTATCATCGCAGCGATCCAGTACTTCTTGTAGACCCTGCCGTATATTGCGTGGTGAGCTATCATGATGTACCTGGAGCGAAATCGGACATCTCGTAACAATTTTGTGCATCGCACTTGAACGTCAACGCGCGTTAATTCCAGGGCGATTCATTCCTGCGACTTAATCCGATCAAAGGGAATCCTTCAATCGGATTAAGTAACGTTCAATGAGTTAAGTAGAGGATAAAGGAACGAACACAAACCTATTGATAGTGATAGCCGCGACGGATAAAAGGCTAACGCCGACATTTCCGTAGCGCAGAAAGGGCACCAGCACGCACAAGAATCCTACGTCCGCCCAGCTGGCATTAATGAACCTGATGGAATCGAACGGCAGCACAAGCAGACAGAACACGAAGTCCGCGACACACAGGCTGTTCCGTCATCAAACAGAATTCATTTCAATTTAGCGTGACGCGAATATCGTTTTGGGGAGTCGTATATTGATATAAACGTCAAAATTTAAGAATTGACTCGTTCCCGTATTGGTATGACGCATTGTGTTTACGTGAGATGATCACGTAACGATGATTCATACCGACTTCATGAATGAACGAGCTATTACTTTCCGACTTAAAACAAACCATGCAAAGAATCGTGTAATTGATTAAGATCCGTTTGCACTAATCGAATGATAAGTTAACTAACAGTTAAATTATATGACTATTTTTTTTCCTTCAAAATAAACAAAGGCAAACACTTGTGTTTTAACTATTGATTAGTTTATCGTTCAGTTGGTGTGATTATGCTAAGTGTAAATGTTTATAATCAGATGTACCTTATGATAAAGGCGGCGGCGACGTTGCGCACTTTGGGATATTTGCATAAAGCGATGATCGTCAATAAATTGCCAGCCAGGCCAATGATCATGATGATGATCGCCACCACCGCCGCGAAGGTCCTCAAGGGCTTCGGAAATCTGCGGAGAACATATCAATGGTAAGAAGGATTGTCCTATGTTTATACGTCGTTGCAACTGCTGTCTATCGACAGGAACCGAATGATTCCATTAAGGATATGTTCTTCTGTGAGAGAACGACGCACCTTGACAGTTCCTCATCGACGAGCGTGCTGCTGGTAGCGTTCTCCGTGAGGTGCATCAACCACGTGCCGTCCATCATTCCGGCCGTGCCGAAGGTGTCGAGATTCCGATCCAACGGTTCCATTCGGCCTCGACCGACCTCGAAGGCCTGCGACATTCACGCGAGCGGAAGAGAGGAATTAAATATTCGAGCCGTGTTCTCCTTTGGCGAATGAGTAAAGCGGATGACTAATCGCGCGGACATGGTTCGGAACACGACACACCGATTACGTTCGCGTAAAACGTCGAAATGATCGAGTTATTTAGACGTCTTATGATCTGCCTGTTTTGTTATCCGGTGACAGGCACGGTGATTTGCCTTGGAAATTAGCTGGACAAGCGAATGCGGAGGCGAGAGCGTAAACAAACGCGTTGATCTCTTCGCATACCGGCGACGGCGACTGGTCGGTCCGGACATTGTCGCGCAGACATTACCGCGGGGATACGAGGGACGTAGAATTCCCACGAAGAGGAAACTACGATCTAAAATTCCGGTACGTGCAGTTCAAGCGATCTGACGCAAAGCGGATGCGACGCGCTTGTGTCAAAACCATTTCCTGAATTGCGACAGGGAGCCACGGACTGATTCGATAAATTGCTCGGCTTAGTGGCGAGCCAACAACCGCAGTATAATTTCTCGGAAATTTAGGAAATTAAAATTATTAAAAATTCCTAGAAACTAGATTCGTCTGGAAAAAATGCCTGATATTTTAAAACTATTGATTTAGAGAGATTTTTGATAATTTAAAACTTATAGATTTTAATTACGGCGCTATGAATTGATCCGCTGAATTTTGCTCGACAGTTTCTCTCAATGAAAAACTGACGATGATATAATCTTCTGAATTTTTCAGAAAATAAAAATCATTAAAAATTACGACGATTATGTGTCGTGACAAAGTTACGCTTGATTATCTTAACTCTTGTTTTCGAAAGTGATAGTGCGAGTCTTACTTTAAATTAGCAGGAACAACAATCACGACACAGGATAACTTAATGATATCGTGTATCTTCCCTGCGCATCTTATTTATCTCGCACGTCACGTCTAAAATTGTTAACTTCGAGTGAGCAACAATCCGCGAGCGCGTGTCCGGCGACCACGCTCGTGGAACGGACGTTGAGGTTTACGGTATGCAAATCTTTTCCAGCGCGTGGCGCATTAAAATAATTCCCGGTCTCTCCGCAGACAATGGCGACGGGGAACGAGCGTTAATCGCAAGGCGAGGAGCACGTGAGAGTCCATCGTTATTTATGGGACTCGAAAAACACCGACGAAGGGCGCCGCGCGCGCGCGCGCGACGGAAGTGGGTCGTCTGGAGGATTCACGGAGAATAATGCGACATGCAACCGGTGAATAATGCTGCGCGTTAATTTCGACTTCTCTCAACGCACTCGGCTACCGATGACTCGGGCGACCACTCCTGAGACATCGATGAAAGGTAACGAAGGAGGAGGGCGGAAGAAGATAATACATCTCGTTTTCTTCTTCGAAGGCTGCTCGTGATCAATGCTGTGATAATTATCACGGAAGATCGCGAATTTTCGCTTATTAATCGACGATCGCGACCGACGGTTGGGTGTGAGGGGTGCGGGTTGGATTTGGTAAACTAGGGTCAAGCTGCGGTGCATTAACCCCGATTGAGCTTAATTAAGGGAAATTAACAGACACCCGGTACTAGGCGTCCCCTCGCGACAAAAAAAGCGATGGAAGCTGCGAAAGACATGGGAACGCGCCAGTGTGTGTCGCCCGCGTCCCGTTATCCCGTCTCGTTTTGTTCTACTTCATTTTCAAACGTCGCGCGATTATTCCATCGGGAAGCGAGAAATTGCAGGAAGAATCCCCAAGCAGTCTTATGGACATCTTTAAGACATTGTCTACAAGTTTTTACCGTTTGAATAATGTTATTTATTATCCGATTATTATCCTTGTATACAATATTTTATACTATACTTTATACTATACAATATTTTATACTATACTTTATACTATACAATATTTTATACTATACGGGAAAGAAAATTTGGTTGAAAGAAGCAAATTTTTAGTAATATATGAACCAAATAGAAATTCCGATTGAAGCTACCAGGACTTTGTTCAAGTAAACAATAGTTCTGGTTAACTGAACTGGCAATGTCAATCGAAATTTTCTGGCCCGTTTATGCTTCACTAAAAATTGGTAAATTTAACTAAATCTTCTGCGTGTATTTTTTCGTATTAATAAAATTTTCGTTCTCTAAAGATAGGACATTGATAGTCAACGTATTCGTGGTAAGATATTCCTCGTGTTTGACTTTTTGTCGTCAGCATAACGATAAGCGAACTTAATCTGTCCTCCTGTGAGCGCGACCGCAAACATTATTTTTTATTCTGTGGAAGTCACGACGACAACGACGACGACGAACCAAACTGACGTCACCGAATGATTTCTGAGTTAATCACACAGCCAACGGCAATGAGTGAGTCAAGTTGAGTCACGGTGAAAGTACCTATTGCAAGTCTGATTCGCGTCCCATTGCACCTTCAGTTAAGAAGCGCGTCTAACGTTGCACGTTTATATTTTTGCAGGTTGATTGGCGAGCGAGAGGGATTTCAGGAGACTTTTCCGCAAGAACTGATACGGTCATCGATTTGCCTCCTCTGAGAAACATCAACGTTGCCAGCGGGATCGTCTAACGTTCATTCTGCCGTCTTCGAAAGGTTCGGCTCATCTTTTCGGTTATTTTTCTCGGAACATATGAATATCCGAGATGTAAAGGAGCGAAAACCGAACGTGCGAAGCAGTGTCGGTGCACGCAAGTCGAGTGCAGAATGAACGTAGAACGTTAAAAGTCGATCAGGACGCGACAACTCTCGTATCCCGCCTACGAGAGTACCACGTGGTCTCAAACGTCCGTGTACACGCCACAGAACATGTGTCGCGCTTCGTATTCGCGCGCATTTAGCACTAAATATGTCCGGGTAAGATGAAAAATCGTGCCAGCTTCGACTCGTTTGAGATAAACTGCGCGGCCAATCTGCATTCTTTTATGTTCGACAGAAATTTTGATTTGTTACAAATAATTTTGAAGAAAGAGAGAAAGAGAGAGAGAGAGAGAGAGGGCGTTAAATTGTCACGATAAAAATGCTCATTCAGACCATCCGGCCAGACCATGCACTTTTTTGCCTTGTTCTCGGCATTGGTCTCTCAGGATCGCAGACCAATGTCGCCCTTGAGATCGGGAAGATTCATGCGAGCGAGAATTACAATCGCAATTGAACGGAATTATGTTCCTCAGAGAATTTATTGACAAACTGTACATATCTCTTTGTTCTTTTATTATCTTATCTGCCTCTTTTTTTATCTTATCCTTCTTCTTTTAGAGAAAAGTTTAGGTCAAGAATTTTCTATGAATTCCATCGTATTAATGATATTTACAATAATCAAAGTCGAAATCGACGACATTTACAAAGTTATCAGAATCGGTGACATTTTGCAAGTTGAATTGACATCATCAAACTGGAGGACGATAATTATAAAGATCTAATAATTGTCACTTACCACTTCTATTAACTTCTCACTTCAATACGGCCATAAAACGACACGTGAAATAGATTACCGCAGAAGCGTGAGGAAAACCATTGGTGACTTCAATCGCCTGAAGGATAAGACGAGAATTATTGATTCAATGATATCCCTTCCTCTTCGACGTGCGTCTTCACAAGGAAAGATTGAAATCGCTTATGATACGTCAAAACGAATACGTTGCTAACTTCGTAGCTTCGGAAGATCCAGAACTTGTCGATCGTCCTCTATCTTATACGAGTGTGAAATATTTTCCTCGATATTCCTATTGACTAGCATGTGTCAAGCTTAATGTCTTTTTAATTACTCCCTAGTTGATTCTCCTGCCTTGATTCTTCTTTCTTCAATTTCACTATGCTTAGAAGCAATCTCTCATAAAGGTAGTCGCGCTCCTCTCTCGCGCGGGTCTTCTCGATCTCAAGGGTCGTTGATCGATCGATATATCGCTGCGATATTCCCGCCGCGATATATTCGCGATCTGCCAATCACTATACGAAGCACCTGTATCCTCAATGCACCGCTGTATACTCAATGTATCCTTTAGTTTATTTCTAATTCTGTCAGAACCGTGGAAAGGAATATGGAATGACAACCGAGGACGGGCCGCGCCGTTTATCGCGATCTCTTCGACAGCGCCTCTGGACGACGCGTTCACTCACTCGTGAGTCCCTCGTTTATCTCAGGACTGACAGCACCTGGCGTTCGCGGGCGATCGCGCGACTCTTGCGGCAGCTCACGATTTCGACTGCGACTGCATCGATCCTCGGGGACCAGCGAGTGTCGACGCGGGGACCAGCGGCGCGCGAGTTGTCGTCGGGCCGCCGCCGGTTGTCGCGGCACTCTGCGTGTGCGTCAGCGTCACCGTGGATGGACTGCTAACCCAAGTATTCCGTCAGATTGTATACACGCTAGATACGGGCCCCGCGGGCCGGGTGGGCGGCCGTGGGAGGGGACGGGGGCGGTTCGGGCTCGATGACGAACGTAACGAGTGTCGCGCACATCTGCGCCCGAGGCGGACCCGGTTGACCCTTCGGCTGTGACACACCGAGTTGCTCCTTTTCCTGAATCGCGCACTGAGGCGCGGAATATGTCGCGATTGCGACATGCGATTTCAACACGCTACTGCGAGTTCCTTTGTCATTTCCACACACGTATGAATATCAGGACGCAGCGTTCTACCAGGAGAAGGTCTGGTCAGCGGTATTGTCAGCACCTCGGGTAATCCCGCGCAGCGGCTTCTTCGAATATATCCGTCTTTACACCGGCTCGAATTGGAGCAATGACGTTTGTATGCAACGAGCTGAATGACAGTTTTTTTAAATATCCGCTACGTCAATGTGTTTGACGTAGGTAAAGTGAGAATGTATTGCAAGAATTACACAGACGAGCAAGCACATGCGAGCCGAATGGTGGAGAGTCAATGTCGAATGACAAGTGCTGTAACTTTCCTCTTATTGAAAATTAACATTAAACACTAATATACTTCTCTTGCCTTAATTAACAGTACATGCTCCGTTCAGATATTCAAGTTTGATCTACAATGTATCATTTGCTTCATATTTCTTTTTCTCTATCTCTTTCTGATTCAAATCTTAAGCTTAATCTATAGTGTTTTATTTGCTTTCTGTTTCTTTTTATCTTTTTCTGATTCAAATCTTAAGCTTTAAACTAAAAAAAGAGAGATAACAAGAAGCAGAAAACAAAGAGCACATTGTAGATTAGGCTTCATATGTTAATATTTCCACACAATTGGGAAGAGAGAACAGTGTCGCAAATTGCCGGCGAACGACTTCGTTAGATCAGTCGTTCCTTGGAGCTTTCTTTGGATGACAAATGACTAGAAAGACAATTAAGATCGCGCGGCTGCCTGTAATAAATAACGGCCTTTGCTACTTGTACTCTCTAATTCCGACGAGAAAATTAAGTCTAGATTAAGAACAATAGTAGTTTGCTTGATATTAAGTTTAATTAATTCGACTAATTTTCAAGTAAAAATGTCTGCGTCAGACATACGACGAACTGCTTATTATTCAAGAATCGACTGCGATCGATAATAAGTGGTTGTAGATTACGATAGAGACGGAACGACGAATTACCGAATCGGGCGAATTCGCGTAACTTGTGCTCAAATAACGGCGTGGCTTGCTGCACGCGGTTGCTGATTAGATCGCTCTTAATATCGCGGTACAGTGTAATTACGCAAGCAATCGAAGACATAGGCGAGAGTGAATTAGACTCAACGAAGTGGAACCGAGCGCACATTAACCGGAATGGCTGAATCGAACCTCGCTGGATTCACGCGCTGTGTATACACATAAAGACGACCCGCATCGAGAGCGCCGTTTGAACGTCCGGGATTCAATTGTATAGGATAATATCCTGGACGGGTGAGATCCGTATCAATAGCGCCGACTTGAAACTTGTCTCACGTGAGATGCTCAGATCAGAGTTTAGAATTAGAATCTTACCTAAATTTTATCTCGGAGTTACATACATTACATATCGCGGAATTGGATTCTAAGAGATCTTAGATTCTATTTTAAATCAAATTTTAAACTCTGACTTAAGTTTAAAATTAGACGTGAGAGATTTTTATTTGAATCACACACACACATAATGTCATACATGAACACGTCAAACAGGTATAACAACCTTAACGCACAGTATAATTAAGTTATCAGTATTTTGTGATTGTACAGTGAGTTGTAAAACTGTTTAGACATAATGAAGTTGAGAAATTGTCATCAAACTGTCAAGATTGAATCGTTATTAGACAGATTCGTCTAGTAATTTTATATTGTTAACAATTATTATTTTCTATTATCACTCAGTGCTCTTAATTAAATTATTATCGCGTGAGTCCGTAATAAGTCTCAATTTTGGCAGCTTGGTGAGCTCCGCTGTATATAAACCGCTTAGCGACTCATACTGAACTGGTTATCGGTTACTCATGCCGTTATCGCCGGCGCGACGAATGTATCACCGTGGAATATAATAATGCGTGTTAAATAATACATATTAAATAATACGATCGCGTGCGCGCGTGCACGCGCAATCCTACATTTGCCGGATGCTCGTCCGCTCGCAGATATCGACTGGACGATAAGTCGATGACAATGACAGAGATGTTTCGCTTCTCGTTCTCTCACAACGATCAGTCTGCCGACTTCGGCGAGATCTCTCACGTGCGAGCACTGCACGGAGATCTCAGCGAAACTCTTCTGAACGTGGACGAGCGCCGAGGAGAACCGGGGAAACCAGCTTCCGACTCGCTCGGTCGCTCACTTCCGCTCGCGGGCGTTTGCGCGCAGCTGGAGACCCTTCCCCTCGCGTGGCGAGCACTCCGCTAACGAAATGCAATTATTTTTAAAAAGGATGTAGGGACGCGCGCTCTCGCTACGCTTTCCAGGGGACGACGCTCCCCTGGATCATCAGACGTAGGTGCTCCAGCAGCCGGCCGGCCCTAAGTGCCACATCGACGATGGGTCGACCGGCCGCGGCTGACACCGTTCAACACTTTCGCTATCACGCCGCTCGCATGCGATGCGCGACGACCTGATTCGCGTAACGCGATCTCGTGTGCATATAATAACAATAATAATAATAATAACGATGCGCAGGATGTAACGCGGTAATTCGACTCAGCGAGTTAACGGCCCCCGCATGAGCGTTTACGCGAAAGTAAGCCGGAATCGAATTTGCAGAGGATGCTCCAGATGATGCCTCTCGCGAAGCGAAGGCGACACCTCCGGATCCGCGGATCTCGATCTCCGGAGAAGCCCGCGAACAGCGCGAAGGTGGAGTCGAATTTAGCGCAGGCGCGGCGTCTCTGAAAAGTGCATACTCTTCTACACGATTCTTGCTAACAATTCCGCCAGTCTATTCGCGAATTTCACGGGAACCGCCGCGCCTTGTCATCGTGCCTGTGCCATTCACAATTCACTTCCGTGTGTCCTTCCGTTCCCGCTAATTTCTTGTAAGACAAATTCGAATAGATTACAATAAATTATTATAATAATTATTATAATAATTTCGTTTTTTGTTCTTATGTAGTATGATACGATAATAATTTTATTGTAACGAATTATAATATATTTGTAGAATTGAGCGAAAATCGCAACGAAGACGCGGAGCTCGTAGTTTTCGATGAGAAGCTCGACTCCGCAATATCAAGGTCAAGATGAAAGTCGGCAAAAAGAGAAACAAATCGGAGACACGACGAGCGTCATCCTGGTATCGGAAACAACGAGAACAAAATTTTACAACAACTTCAATGTCGCATGATCATCGCCAGCGGTGAATCGGAAACATCTCGTCTTTGTTTTCGCGAAGGTAAGCGCGCTCTTATCGCTCTATCGTCCGAAGCAAATTCTCTTATGCGAAGTGGAGTTTCTTCTTAGTTGCGCTTCGTTTCTTTCCTTCTTACTATCTATATAGATACAAAGGTGTATCTATATACACCTATTCTCTCTGTTGTCTAAACACATCTATCTTCGTCACTTTTCAGTAAACGCGGGAAGCGCGGGAAGTGCGAGAAGCGCATCCAGAGAACGAAGCGAGATCTGATCTTCAGATCTTCCCGTCAACACAGTAAGTCGAATATAACGAAATACTCGGGTGTATCTTTGTTTTAGCATGAACCTCGGGCGATTTGTCGGCGATGGTGAGCATACTGTGCGTGTTGACCAGCGATGGTCGACGAAGACCATAGAAACGCCCGAAAGTTTACGCTCCGGCGAAAGAGTTTATCGTCTCAGGCGGCGAAAATAGATCTCTCTCTTCTTCCTCTTAGACGTTGCGCCGGGAGAAAAAAGAGACTGCGGCTCGCGACACGCGTTTACGCATGCAGACGTGCGTAAATGCGATTACCCGTGCGTAAAATTCGCGCCGTCCATAGCGCGACGATGAGGACATACTAAATGAAAAAAAATAGAAATTAGTTGTCAATTGAGAATAGATGCCGGGAGCTTATTGCGGGATAAGATGGGAATCTTAGATTTCCTGAAGCTACTGCGCTCGAACTTCTTCGAACTTCCGTTCTTTTTCCTCGCGAAGCAATATTTTATATAAATATATATTTTTTTATATTTTATATTATATTACGCGACGTTTTATATCTATATATGTATATATCCCGTGCGATATCGTTATCGCTGTACGAAAAGGGGCGGGACTGATATATTGAGAAAGAAATATCTAAGAAATGATAAATATTTATTCACACACACGGTGGAGGTATTAATAATATTTTTATTAATACTAACATAAAATATTGTTCAAAAAGAAAATATAGATTTTCTTAAAACGTTAAGAAAACCCCTTAAGAAAACTTTAGCTTCTTATGAAAAAGCCATTTATTTTATTTATATAAAAGAATTTAGATTTTTTAAAATAAATATGTTGTTAGTATCTATTATAAATAAATATTTACTATTTTTTCTTTCAGGATACCAGAGCAGTCGCTGATAAGAACGTTTCGAAGCGTTCGCTTCTGCTAAAATAAAGATCGTCGTTAATGATCTGGAACCAAAACCTTTCAGCGTTTACTGTAGTTCACTGAATTCGCGTTTCCGCGAGCATAAAAACATGAGAACCGAATTTTGTTTACATTATTTGATTTTGCGAAAGTAGCGCGATTACAAGGATGACGGCTGCTGATCGTGTCAAAGAGATGCATTTCGCGGCTCTATTTTCGATGCAAGTTCGCGAAGTAAACATTCTTCCGAAGATATCCAGCGTGATTCGTAATTATTATTTCACGGGCGCGTTCAGGTGAAAAGTTTTCAACACTTTCTTTTTAAGAGAAGAAATATTTTGATATTTAAGACTTTCTCCCGTGTGGCTTCTGAGTTGGAGCCACGTTTTTCGTGGATTTGTTTCCACCGTTTCGTAAACATTTCAGTTCACTTCATCAAGGAGAAAATCAACTTGATATTGAGTATCAGGTTGCTCCTCTGTCTAATAAAGTGAACTGAAATGTTTACGAAACGTTGAAAACAAATTTGCGAAAAACACAGAGAACTCCACTTTTTTCTATTCTACTTAGACTAATGATGCTACTTGTACGGCCCTGACGAGATTCATAGACATACTCGACAAGAGTCTTGCTTCCCACAGATGCTGGAGTACTGGTGGATGGCGAGCAACGAAACCGCGCAGAATGACAGCGATGTGGCGATCAACGAGGTGCTGCAAGATCCTGGACTGGTGGTCCTCTTCGTTGGATACCCCGAGTGGCTGCTGCACTTCGCTGCTGCCTGTTGTATCCTTTTCATGTTGGTCGGCATCCCGGGAAATCTCATCACAGTGATTGCATTATATCGTACAAAAAAGGTCAGTAAATAATAGCTATGTAAATCCAATAAATTCGCATCCGACGATGCGTTATCCAGTAAACAAACAAGTAATGTTACATCAACAATGTTATAATTTTCCACTCAACAATACAACTCGCGTTACATAACACTCGCATTGTGTTGCATTTACATTGTTGAGTAGAAAATTATAACACTGTTATGTGATAATTGATAATTGGTGTTTATTGGGGCAACGTTGAATGAGTGTGAAAATAGCATTTAAAATGACATGAGTGAAGAATTAATTGATCGTTAGATAAGTTAGAACATATTTTACATTATTTGCAAAGTGATTTTAATAATGAATTGATGTGTGATAATTGCCTAGTCGATCTATGTGTGACAATACCACTATCAATAATATCACATATATAATATTTTCAAAATTTTACATTTATGTAACGTATAAATTAGTTTTATGTTCTCATTTATATTGACTCATTTTATTAATTATATATATATATATACCATATTAATTAATATAAATAATATATATCATATTATATATTAAAATTCCACTCTTTCATTTCTCATTATATTAATTTCATCTTCTCTGAAAGACACAACTATATGAATCATAAAATTGTAATATAAATCATTACTACATATCCGTTATATATTTTTTGTTTGAATTGCATAGCTGTAATTGCATGTGTCGACTGAATGGTGTCACGTGTGAAAATATCGGTATCTCGAATTTCCTTCTTAATCTCTCTTTCAAGTTCTGGTCATGCCAAATGTACGGAATGACGTAGGTGCTTTTGTCGGTGGTTCGCTAAAGCGGTTTTGCGTTATTCGCGGCAATTTTCGCGACTCTCGTAAGGGCCTAAGTAATGGATTCGTTACGCAAGACACAGTGGCTGCTCGAGTTTCCGGCACGCAGAAATCTTGAAAGCAGCCAGAGAGCGGTTTACCTCGAGTCATTATGCTTCACTTTAGCTGCACAAAGCGTCTCGGTAACAAGAATAAAGCTGTTAGCCGCGTGGAAGATTTTTCCGCCGAAATATACTCGGCGACTCGAAATAATCGACGCGGCGACATGAGCTAGCGAACGGGGCGGGTCGTCGGCACGATTCTGAACCAAACGAGCTTTTCTCGGACAGAATCGATCATCAATGGGTTAAGTTTGGAACAGATTACGCGGAACCGCATGCATACACAATCGCGTGTTTCCACTAAGGTTCACGTACTTCGCTCTATTATAATCGGCGAGTTGGAATTAAATCAGGAAATATTGTAAGCCGATATTTTGCCGCGTGTTTACTGTGAGAAATTCGCGAGAGGTATCATTCGGCTGTTGCAAAAATTAATTTTTATGTCTGGGGTCTCTGTTATACTACTTATATTATGTATTGTTTAATTGATATTTAATGTAATCAATTAAATTAAAATAAGGCGATTCATTTTCATCGTATTTTAACATTTTTGTCGAGAAGATAGACTTTACAAGATCCTTCTGTCATTGTAAAACAATATTCTCAAAATAGAATCTACTTTGACAGGACAATAATTCTTCTCAGTTGCCGCGCTGAATATTCTTCATACCTGAAAATATTCATGACTTTCACGATTCTCTTATTAACTCTATTGTTCTTTCGTAATGTCTTGAAATTATTCAATATTAATGTTCTTATAGCTGAAGAACTCTACCGCTATCTTTATAATGAATCTCTCGTTATCTGACCTGATGTTCTGCTGCTTCAATTTACCGCTCGCAACTTCGACGTTCTGGCACCGTGCGTGGCTTCATGGGCCACTTCTGTGTCGACTGTTTCCGCTGTTGAGGTATGGTCTCGTTGCGGTCAGCCTCTTCTCGGTCCTCGCGATCACAATCAATCGCTACATACTGATCGGCCACCCTCGTCTCTACTCCACGTAAGTGGCTTTCCCGTGTATATAAATGATTTTATATTTCTATTAATAGAAAACAAGATGAGACAATCTTCTCTATCAATAGATTAATAAATAGCTAATTTTGTTTTCTATTAATAGAAAACGCTTAATCAATTCTTTTAAAGAATTCTCGTCTGAGATTTAATTTTTGGAAAATTTGAATGATGCATCTCGTTTTTCTGTTCACTTTACAAAGATCATTTTATCAGAGATTGTCAAAGAAAATTATATTTAACGAACACAATAAGTATAAATTAAAATATAAAAAATATGATAGGAAAAAAGAACTAAAGAGCCAAGGTGCGAGTGTTAAGCGCTGATTTATGTAATCATTAAATTATAAAATTATAACATATTAAAATATACAATTTAATATCTACAGGATTAAATCTTTCAGACGACGACGAAATTCCATTCTTATATTTAATATTTGTTAAATATGATTTTCAGAGTATATAAAAAAAAGTACTTAATACCGATGGTTCTGGCAATATGGATCATTGCTTTCGGTGTGCTGATCGTCACGTGGTTCGAGCGATGGGGACGTTTCGGATTGGATACCGCTATTGGGTCCTGCTCGATCCTACCCGATGTGAATGGACGCAGCCCGAAAGTGTTTCTCTTCGTTCTCGCGTTTTTAATGCCATGTCTTGCCATTATCGTGTGCTACGCAAGAATCTTTTACATAGTTCGTAAGAGTTCCTTAAAGAGCATAGGCGGACTTGGGATCGTCAACGTGGGGCCTGGGGAGATTAATTACGAGGTAAAGTCTACCTTTCTTCTTGAATCAGATTCAATTTCCTATTTTAATATCATTCGTATTAATCATAACTCTCCGCAGCAACAATCCTCGTCTACGAGGAACCAAGAAGAAGAGCTCTCTGTTCGATATGCATCTTCCACACCGATGCGAACGGTCTACCTCACCAGCGGTCTGGAAGAAGAAGTCGACGAGGATATATTTTGCTCGAAGCAACTGCTCAGCGATCAACGGGAAGCGAATCGCACAACGACGTTGCATGTAAATGAAGCAACGTCGAGCAGCAGTGTTTGCCCGAATCAGGACCGCGACATCTTCCATGGGAGTCTGACCACCGCGGAAGACATACCGTTCGCGGATGAGCCGAATGTCTCCGCGGAGTCCAAGCGGTTTTTGAACAGAAAACCAGGCTCGGATGAATCACAGCGGAGGCTCCCAAAAGGTTCTTGCAGGCAGCTGGACAAGATGACCAACCGAGCCTCTTTCATTATGGAGTCGTCGCTATGGGCGCACGAAGTCGCCGACGACGATCGTTCGAGTCGACTGAAGACCTTCGTGGGCTCGCGGTCACATTCGCCCGAAGGATCCTTCGCGGCGCAAGCGACTCGTAGGGAGTCCAAGTTCCGCACCGTCGTCGGTAGAATACGCAACGGCGAGTCCGCGCCCAGGATGTCCGCGAAAGACCGGAAGGTGCTGCAGATGATCCTCGTGATATTCTCGTCGTTCCTGGTGTGTTATCTGCCGATCACCGTCACTAAACTCTTCCACGACACGGTCGATTGGCGCGGTTTGAACATTGCTGGTTACATACTCATCTATCTGACCACTTGCATCAATCCCATCATCTACGTTGTGATGAGCTCCGAGTACAGAAGCGCGTACAAGTATGTCCTGCTCTGTAAGTGCGAGAAGATGACGGACAAGAGATGATGCCCGGGTTCATTAATGTAGAGCGCGCATATAGGTAATCATGCAATAGGTGACATATAGATACAATGGATAACGATGGATAAGAGTACATTTGGAATATAAATAGGTAAGAGTAAATAAGAATATAAGTAAATAAGTACGTGTGCAAAAAAATATATGTTTGTTTCTTGGTGTATTCGTGTGGTTAACTCGACGTTTTGGATTCTTTTTAATGTTTCTTTCTTCGTATTTGAAAGTAACCAGAGAACATTAATGCTTTATTTAGGATGTTTAGGAAACGATCCGAACTTTCAAAAATCTTGTCCCGAGCCACACGAATTCCTGATGAATGTTTTATTATTTCTATAAACGATGCAGAGCGAGAATATATATAAATAAATAACATTTATATAAAACAAGTACATAATATAAGCAAGAAATAAATTCGACATTAAATTTATTTAGTATTTGTACTGCATTTCAGTTTTTAGTATTTGTACTGCATTTCATTTTGATGCCTGATGTGTGCTCAGATATTTATATTTTAGTATAGCTTGCAGAACAATATAAACGTCAGAACGAGTAGAATATTATCTTTCATGAGAGGAGAATGTAGCTAGACTTGAATATAGTAAATCTACATAAAAAGTATTTAACACGCGTTCGAGTATTTTGTACAAGTAATTTAAATAATTTAGATATTAATTTCTAAAGTTGGATTCACTTGGTGTAATTTATGTATAAGCTTTGAGTATATATCATCAAAAGATTTTCCTTTTTTAAGTTCTCTCTGCATTCATCAAGATTCAAACTTATCCAAGATTCAAACCATTTTAGCTGAGACACAAACCACTTTTTTTTTTCACTTTTCTTTCAGATAAATTTTTTCATTTTGATGTAGGAATTGTAATAAGAAAGTTAGGTGAACATTACTTACCTGCAACTTACATCAACTGTATGAAACTGTATGAAAAGACAACATTTGAGAGATTATTTGTGAAATAATATTAAACATCAGTTACTACAACGTTGCAATTAATACTTTTAATAGATCTCGGTCATTTTATTCTCGTTCTATAATAATCAGTTTCTTTCTTACTCTCAGTAGTGCCACGCTACGATGATCATGACGTCAAATGTAATAATTCGTGATAACAATAATCAAGACAATAACCATGAGCCGTTGGTTGTAAAAGTGTGGCGTCGGCTTACCTAATTTATTTAAAATCCACAGTCAGAGAACAATGATATCTTCGTCGCATCTTCGTCCATCTCACTTTCTTGCGGAACGTTTCAGGTCCCGTTAGGGATGGGCGATAATCTGAGAAAAGAATCGACGTTCAAACAATCGATTATAAAAAATACTACCGCGAGTAAATCTCAAAAACGTGAAGAATAATCGATTGACATTTTTTTATCTTTTCCACTTGATATCTAAGATATGAGTCGATCATCTTCAACAAACAATTAATAACGTTACAAGACTGAATGACGGATCAGAGGATCATTTTATCCTCAAATAGTACAATTCAACGGACGAACTTTTAATAGATTTCTTTGACTCGATGATGAATTACGTTACTGAAAAGTGGAAATTCAAGCAGAACAGGCTTCAAGACAATTCATCAAATAAAGCCTGCAATACACATATACAAGTGCCGTTGATTCATCGATTCGTCGGCTATACATCGCCCATCTCTAAGTCCCACTTCGCGATCACGATGGACGGTCCACCGAGCCGCAATGCAAGCCATTTTACAATCGCACGCTCGTGTGCGGTAACGCTATCAATAATCGTACAATATGCATATGTGAACAGAACTGTAACTATGAAGGATCGAGTGCAGATAGTCGCGCGTGACAGTCCGCGTTCGACGTCTCTCGATCTCAAAAGAGGCGTCTCAATCACACGACTGCGCCATTTGATCAACGCGATCGCAACTCGAGCTCGCGGAATGTGCCCCGACACTTCCTCTTTGTCTGTCCTTCTCTCTCGCTCCCTTGCAAACGGCAGTTGGATCGGATGGAATCGGCTGCATCCGGTACGAAACCGGCACGTAACATCATCGCCGTTTCAGTCGTTATTTTCCACTAGGTGTAAACAACGATGTGCTTCTGCGAACGATCGCATTTCCGACACTACCGCCGATATGAAGCAGAGAGTATTTCCCGCGAGTCTCTCTCTCTCTCTCTTGAGAGAGAGAGAGAGAGAGAGAGAGAGGCGATCCTGTACGTCGGGGGCGAGTATCGGGTTCCGTACTGCCAGAAACCTGATAGCGAACGTTTCGAAATAACGATCGAGGCGCAGCTTCGAGCCCGACGACGCCGAGAGAAACGACGGACGGGCGATTTTCGCGGGCGCCAACTGGATAAAACGCACTTTCCGCTTGTCGCGCGGCTACAAACGCTACAAACGCATGTATGTACTCCTACGTCCTTTCTCTCTCTCTTTCTTTCGTTTCTCGTCTACAATAAAACTATGCGAAATTCAAGTGCAAAACGTTCCGTGAGAACGTGCAGAACGCCAGTCACACGAATGACCTGTCAAATAAACGCTCCGCGACTCTCTTCTCTATTATATAGACTCTGCATAATTTATATCTCTATATCTTCATATATTTATACTTATATATATATATTTATTTTCTTATTTATATATATATATATATATATAATTTCTTTCTCTATTCTTAGTGTGTTTGTGTATCATCTCGTCTTCTTTTGTTTTTCTCTCTCCCTCCTTCACTTCTGAAAATCTCTAAGCTAAGGACTAGTTAAAATAGTAGGATTAACTTTAACTATATGTGTACTCTCAACAAACCAGTCTAGCTTTTCGACGTGTCACCTGCCGTTGACGATCGTCAGAGCATGAAGAAACGCTTGAACACTCGGGATGACTCGCCGTTTGGTGTTGGGAACATGTCGGTCACGGCGCGGTGAGACCGGGAGGGATGATCTCGAGCGCACGTCTCCGGAGCACTTACTGCTAAATGATGGCCGCTTGACCGGCGTTTCGACGCTCGACGCGACCGCCTCTCATTCATTCGTTCATTCGTTCGTTCGTTCGTTCGTTCGTTCGTTCGTTCGTTCAGGCTACGCGCGAAGGATGATCGTATTATGACCTCTTATTATCTCTAATGATTCTTAGGCGGCGTTCTACTTATTTGCGATAATCACGCCGACCGATGCTCGAGCTGCGCCTTGATCCGACGACACCTTCGCGCGCGTTAGTCGCGTCGAAGTCACGAGTGAACGATTACGAGTAAAGGTTGCTTCTCATTATCCGTCTAGACAGCGAACAGGATTCCGTCGTTGCTAGGAAATTTCCAGAAAACGTTTAAAAGACGTCCCACTCCTTTGCAAACGTCTTCAAGGCGTCCTTAAAACGTCTCTTGGAAGTTTCTGCCGATCCACGTCAGTCCTCCGTTAAAACGTTCCTCAATATTTTTTAATTGGAACGATAGAGATGTGACGACGACGAATACTGTGTATATTCCAAAACGAAAGCATTGAAGAACATTTCGACGGATTCTTGCCTTAATTCGCTCCAACTCCGCGTCGTCCAAGTGTTTAAATCGGCGACAGGACGAGAGACTACTGCGCATCGTTGTGATGCTGGCTGATTTGCCCGTCGGTTCGCGAATGAAGCTACAAGTTAAGAAAAATTGTAGCTCTCGACGATCTTGCCGAGAGCGGACGCGTTTTGTTTCAGTCGAGACGAACGAGAGGAGAGGAGAGCTCCCAGACGAGAAAAGCGGCCGCGACTATTCTTAGCGCAGCTCGGAACATCGTGCGCGCCCGTGCGTTATCGCTTGTTAATATTGAAAAATACAATTATGAGAGACAATAATGCGCTTACGTCGGCTACGGCGGTCGCGACGCGAATGCGAATTCGATTAAGGCGGGAAACGCCGAGACGCCGAGCTCGCGGCGGGACTAGAGTCTTGTCTTGTTTTGTCTTATCTTGTGGTAAAAACGCTTTCGTCCTTGGCGGATCGAGAACGCGCGCTCTACGGTCGTTTCTAATTTACCTGTCTCTTAAGTATACGCGGTATAATACGAAACGTACCAAGCGAGTCTTTTCGTTTGTTTTGTTTGTTCGGTTTGTTTGTATCAAGATGCAAGAGGAGCGGCGTATCCGAACAGAAGAGAACATTGATCCAAATGATCCCACGGATTTTCCCCTCGATCGTCGCGGGTATCCGCGCGTATCTCGATGTAGACCAGACGATTATTATCGATTGTTACCTGCCCTACGTGTTCTCCATCACGAACGTGATTGCGAATATGCTCGTCTCGCCGTGTGCACGTGTGTATGAGTGATCGACGATAACGACGACAATTAGCTCGCGCGATCGCGTAATACCCTGTCGCTCGTTACGCAAAACACACTCTGTGCCACGTGTGTAATGAGATGCTGCGTGCAATCGGCTACACTTGCGCGCGAGCGCATCGGCAAACGGAATCGTTTGACGGCCGATCAACTCGCGTCGACATCGACTAGCTGAAACTCAGGCTGTCCGGTGACGGCGGTTTCTCTCCTGCAAAGTGGCTAGAAAAGTCCTTGTTTCTTGCTTCATCTTCCGTTATTTCGAGTCGATGCACATGTATCTCTAGTATCGCTGGATCGTCTGTTTCTCTCTCTCTCTCTCTCTGTTTCCTCGATGTTCCTATGTCTTGCTCCTCTTCTTCTACAAAGTAGTTTCCCGGTTGCACGCGACGACTCGCTGCGCGAAACGGCAAGATCGATCCGCGACGCTGGCGTGTAACTCTAGTAGGGCGAGCCACGACTGCACGCGATTCTCGTAACAAAGGTACTTATGGTTAAGACGTTACTTCATTTATGTATCATACTAGAATCCACAGTGTCTGTAGATGTTTCTCCGTATGTCGAGACGCGTGCCGAGAGTTCCGCCCGCAGAACCCTGAAAAGAGAAGGATTCGATTTAGCTGTGTCCGCGTTGGCGGCCAACTTAGTGGTTGAAGACTCGCTTTGACTCAAGTTGAGGAAATCGTTTAGAATTTATAAGACTGAAATAAACTTTCAGCTTTTGTTAAATCGATTTTTTGTAACAAAAATTCATACATTTGATTAATGAATCAATAACTTCGAAAGAACTATGGAAAATCTTGTGACACTTAATTTATCATCTCAGGTATGCTGATATTATATTGTTACGCTCACACCAACACTCGCGCAAGCGTTCGGAAGACAATAAGTAAGCTGGTTTTACAAAGAACAATAAGCATGTATTTACAGCTCTACAATTAGATATAACACGAAATCATCGCGAGAAACTGTGACACGTCAGTTTGGTTCAAAAGCTCGTGTCCAACTCTACTGTCAGCTGTTATTTACTTCCCTTGACAACTCATCGTCAAGGAGCGCTTGTCATTTTAAACCATCAATCGGGTGCTTTACAAATCAGTAAAGCGCGGACGCAACAATATTATTAATATATTAACGTGTTAAATATATATTTTGTATAAATTATATATTGAATGAAAATATACTAATTTGAAAGCGAGCTGTTCATCCGGGCTGCGAGAGAAGGATTCGCTCGAGCTTACCTGTCATTGTTTGGCGGACTTGTATCTGGCCAGCTTTAGTTGCAGCGGGTTGGATGTCTTCATGTAAACAGCGATGTCATCCACAGGAGCCTCGCGAACGTCTTGCCCGCATATCGCCAGTATGCGGTCGCCTTTGCAGATCTTGCCGCTTTCCAAAGCGCTGCCGGCCGGTAACTGCACGGGAGAGGGAGAGGGAGGATCAATGGATGACGAAATCGAGTTGTGAAATGATAGTTGTACGTATAGAATCAGAGACAGTCTCACCAAATCCCACACGTAGGCTCCTTTGCCGCTTACGAAGCCACGCATACAGAAACCAGCTCCTTTGCCGGGCTTTTTCTGTAGCTCGACATCGAGCTCGACCGCTGGCTTCTCGTGACGCAATACCGTTATTGTGATCTGTCAATGAACAAATGTTCATTGGCGACGACACGTTTGCTCAATTGACTGAGCGAATGTGCCGTAGAAAATATCAAAAGGTGTTGTGGGTAGTGCTATTCTTCAAAATGATACTGTGTGAACGACTCCACCTTACTTCTCCTTCACTATTAAAAACGATACGATCACTGGTGCAAGATCTGTTCATTAACTCGTTATTGGAATCTCATTTTAAGTTAATCGTTATACGATTCACTTCGGTCTGTCAAGTCATATTTGTAATTATGATTTGAAACTTATCCAGATAGATCTAAATTTAGAATTAGATCTAAGATCTTCAGTTAAATTATATGATATTAAGTAAGATATGATTAAGTAACATTATATTTGTAATCTTTTTGGAAGATATATCTTTTTATTTCAATGTATTTTGCAAGAATTTTTCGCGTGTATTTTCTCGTTTCTGACATTATCAATCAAAAGTTCCGCGATGAGGAGCCAAGAGTCTTAAGACAAAAATTTCATGTAATATATGCATATATATATATATATATATATATTGATTTTAAATATAAGTTTAAATATATAAGTTTAGATCTGATTTTTCCAGTTGAGTCATATGATATGCATGATATTATATTTATAATTGCAATTCAACTTAGATTTAAATTTAAATTTAGATCTGAATATCTTGTATAGAATAAGTTTCAAATAATAGTTATAAATAAATATGAGCTTAAGATATCTGTGTTTACAAATAAAGCATGGCACCTAGTGAATGTGAGATGATATCAGAGATGCTTGATAGAGGAATATTACGTACAGTCCCACTTAGAGACGCCTTCAAAAGTGCTATGTGCGCTTTTTCGTGCTCTATCTCCTTGAAGTTCTCGTTGCACACGTGCAGTATCTGATCGCCGGCCTGCAGTCGACCGTCTTTCCCGACCGCGCCATCGGGAGACACTTCCAGGATGAACACCCCGTTCTAGAAAAAATTTTTTTATTCTTTTAATATACTAATGAATCAAGTTTGAGACCTGAAATTGGAACTCAATTCATATTGGATCGTTACTTTATATTTTTTTAATTTTTGGAGTGAAATATTCTCAAATAATAATAGACGAGTTGCTTAAAGCAGAGATTGCACTCAAAGAAATTTAGAAAGTATTACGCTCATCACGCGAAGAGGCGAATGCCTTTTGAAGATTGTCGAATGTGTCATGCTCACCATCGGAGTGTCAGAGCCGCCGGCGATAGTCAAGCCTAACCCTTTGTCCTTCTCTTTGTGAAACTCTATCGTCACTTCCACGCCTATCGTTATCTTGCAGTTCTTTGGATCCTGCGGCACCATGGGTTCCGCTGGCTTGTCCGATTCTTTGACAGACGCTGCGACAAATCAAATATCGTATGCGGATCGAGAAGAATCGAGGGCTATTATTAAGTGTACAAAACCGATCACGTCGTTAAACTCACTCGGCGCGCTCTTCTGCGGCGTCTTCTCCGCGACCACGGATGAAGAAGGCGTAGCGGCGCCGCCAACTTTCGCCTTGTCTTTCTGCTCCTGCACTTTGCTTTGGTTGGGATTGCACACTGTCAGCGTCACGATTCCCTCCGCTTTCTTCAGCAGCGAGGTCGCCTGAGGGAAATTAACGTCAAATTAACGCTCAACGTTCGAGTGATTCTCCGCTAAAAGCAGAAAGGAGTCGTGTAATGAGAAAAAATAGGAAAAACAAACCTCGTCGTACGTGCAGCCCGCCAAGCTGTCCATGTTAACCGCCAGGATCATATCACCCACTTGCAACCCAGCCTGCAATGTCGCATTGTGAAGGATATAGCTTTTTTAAGGTGATCCCGAAACTCGAACGAACGAAAATTACCTGTTCGGCAGCGCTACCCTCTTGGATGTCAGATACGAAGATGCCTTGTCCCACTTCCGCGTGCTTCCCTTCGATGATCATGATGCCGAGGCCGTATTGACCCTATGGACGAGAGATCGATCGGCAATTAGTATCGGAGATAATTGAGAGAGAGGAAGAGAGAGAGAGAGAGAGAGAGAGAGAGGGGGAGAAAGAGAGGGATTGCATGAAATTTAATTAGGTGAGAAATTGGATATTAGAAATAATTGGCGCTTCGGCTGGGAAAACTCAACTCGTATGAGTCTCGCAGCATCGCGGGCACTTGCCTTCTTCACTGGTAGGTTGCGGACTCCCTTATACTGACTGAATTGATCGGCCTGAAACACGAGATATCGCGTATCACTTCACGCCGGCGATACGATACACGCATTCGCATCCTGCGATGCGAGCGTGCATATAGTTGTGGTTGCGACTGCGGCTTTATTAAAACGCGATTACATAATAATATGCATCTATGGTCACTTGATCGCGCGGTCGCGGCTGCATCAATGACGATCCGATGATTCGCGCGATTCTATGAAAATAGAATATATTCGCTCGACCGGTCTCGCGAGGTGAGTGCGAAGAGGAAGATGATGATGATGATGGTGAGAAGACGGAAGCACCGTGGAATGAACTTACGTCATCCAAGGTCGGTGGAAATTGAACTATCGGCTTTACGGCGATGTCGTCGACAGCCTTCAATCTTCTGCAACCGGCAGCAAGCGAAATTCGTTTTGTAGTATCAACGGATTTTATTAGACGCGCGTCGTGTTACACGTACACGTATATATCGCTACGTGAAAAGAGAAAGGAAGAAGGAGAAAAGCTCCGCTGTGCTCACCGGTAAACGATGATCTTGAAGCAAGTGCCGACCATGCCTTTGATGATGGCGGAGGCGTTCAAGTGACAGCGTCCTTGCAGCACGCAACCGTTCACCTGGTGGAACAGAAAATGGGAGTTTTCGTTTTCACTGTGCGCAGAAAAAGAGGTTAGTAATATTTATTAGTAATCAAGTTTTTCAAAGTGAAACACATTTGAATATTTGTGGGCAAAGCCTTGATTTCTTAATAAATGATATAATGATATAATAAGTTACATAGATAGTACACTGAGAAAATATATACATTACACGACTGAAATAGGAGCTGATAAGAGAATAAAAATCTTGCAAATGCTTGGTTACTAGTATTTTCTAAGGTTTCTACTTCTTGAATAATTCATGTACGAAGGCTGCCTCTGGAAAAATGTAGAGAACAAGTTTGCTCTCTCCTGTGTCCTTCTGTCTTTTTCCTTATTTTTATTATTCTATCCGCGCAATAACCACGTTACGAATTTGCAAATTCGTATCTGCACGCCGCGAGTAAACGGTCAACGTTGTTTTCCCTGGGAAAACCTGCAAACATTCGTGCCATCTTCCTCTCTCTCGTCACGACAGACGAGGTAAACGGATTAGACGACGCGCGAATCGGAGGTTAAACAGTCGGGACGAGAGAGGTAAACGAGGACATGAACGGCACCGACGTGCTTGTGGTTAAATGGCAGATCGTAAAAAGAGGAAAAAAGAGTGAAAGCAGGGACTCACCTCCAATATCTCGTCGCCAATGTGAAGCCCGCCATTCTTATGAGCCGCACCCTTCGGATTCAGGCCGCAAACAAACACCGCCATTCGGTTTCTGTCCTTGTGCCCAGCCAAGGAGATGCCAAGTCCTCGCCTGTCCTTCTCTAGCGTGACCATCAACACTCTATGACCTAGATTCTGGTACTTTTTCTGTACTTTCACTGCAAAATCAAAATGACGTTTACCCGCAACGGGGATCGATGGATAATAAAATATTTTTATGTTCGATTATGAATACTTTTGCGTTATCATCAATCGCAAATACTTATGATTTTAACATCAACATACTGCACTCTACTTTTTCCTATACTCGAGAGGAAACATTTTGCGACTCTGTTTCTACTGTTTCTCTCTTGCAATAAATATATAAACGAAACGCCAACACAGAAGTGTCCAACGGGATCCTTGAACCCACTTGACCCAGTTTCCCTATTGACTGCAAAATATATCTCTCTGATTCTCAAGCTAATACAACGTTATACGTGCCGTTCATGTGAAAAAAAAGAAAGAAGAATAGTGGAATTTAGAATCAGATTACTACGTTTAATGTCAAATGTGAGTCCAGAATAGGATCCGACGGACGACCTGGTCGAGAAAGATTCGAGCTAAAGAACGAAAAGGATCACGAATCACTCACTGGCCGTATAGCCGAATTTGTCCTCCGTCTCGGGGTCCGCGTCGATCTCCGCCTTCGTGCGTTTCACGTTGCCAGCGCTCTTCCTCGAGATCTGGACAAGGAGTTTTCTCAGTGACACGGTCGAGCAACAATACCGGATCGAAATGATCGACGCGTTCAATTACCTCGACGCCGCCCTTCGTGTACACGTTCCCCTCCAACATGCGAGTGTCCTCTTCGTCCTCGTCCGAGCTCTCGTCCGAGGAGTACTTGGTGGTCTTGGCAGGCGGTTCCGCGGTGACTGCATGATCCTCCCGCTCCTCGCTGACCTCGCGGAGAATGTCCGGGTTCGCGGGAGGCGTCGAGCCCGTCTTGCGAATTGACTTCTTCATGGAGGATCTGGCGCGAGCAAGAAACCCGTTCGTGACTCGGGACGTCGAGGCGCGTGAGCGCCGAGGGTGACAAGTTGCACGAGAGTCTTCGCTAGTCGAAGACGAGGCGGGAATGCGGGATAATTCAATGTGCGTACCTTCGCGAGCTGGGAACCGAGCCATCCGTTCTCTTCGAGCTCTGCCTGCGGAAATCGCCGCGCGTCACGCCCTGAGCGTCGCCGTCCTCGAGCCCTGACTACACAACAAATGGATCGACACTCTCAAAAAACGTGGAGAAATAAAAATCCCTCCCCCTCTCTCCTCTCTGAATCGAAATGTCAGTCGCGCGCGGCTGTGTGCCTGGATGGCGTGACGCAGACCGATAAAATTAACAAAGAGAATTCGGGACAGAAATTCAAAGGGGACCAATTAGTGCGCAGCCCTCTTCTCGTGTCTGCTTTCGACGAAATTAAAATCTACCGCGGGATACTCCCGAGAACGATGCACTCGTGAGGGAAATCGCGAGGACGCGGTTCTCGAGTGTCCGCCGGGACATGCAGCTGGCCGGAATACCATGAGAATATAAAAAGAGTTTGCTCCTCACGTGAAGTAAGCGTCGGAGGACTGCGCGAATTAATTGTGGCGGTTTACGTGCTTACGTTCACATGTGCAATAAGTGTAATCGCGACCGTGCGCGTGCACAGCCTCCGGTCATTTAATTAGGATAGAAGTACATTTTGTCGCTGCGCGAAAACTGCAGCGCGGCGATTCAATTAAAGAAATTAATTAGCGCGAAACCTCGAGCCCGTCCGCTCGCTCGTCCAGCGCGCCTCTCTTTCCCTCCATTTAGCAATTAGCAACCGCGGCAGTTGCGCTTGTTCTTCGCGTTCGGCGGGAGTGAACGTTCATGTTCTCGCGAGGAAAAAGATCGAAGAAGAAGACGTGAATCACAAGCATGGTACTCTCTAAATTTCTCGCTGTGAAATCCCACTGAAGACGAGTAAAAATTCGCGCGTTATGTGGTAGTGATGATCCCGCTGCTCGGAATCGTAAGGGTGAATGTTTAATTCGAAGTTAGAGCGACGACTTCTTGATTCATACGAGTGAATGTTTCAGATGATCAAAATGAAGCTGCTTCTGTTAAACGTACCACAGTATATTAGATCCTGTTAGAGTACATTCACTTTGCAATTTCCAGTGAAAATGCCTGTATAACGATTTGAAATAGAAAATTCATTAGATATGAGTGAGGAGTCACTTGAATTTGAGTGACTCGACTGTCACTCTGCTTTTAGAATTTCTCTCGCAGAAATTATGAAAGTTAATTCAATAGCGCGATCGCGTTTTTTTTCTTCCACTTTACGATTTCGAATGAAAATGTTCGCACGATGATTCAAGGTGAGAACTTCATTTTATATGAGTAAAAGCCACTCAAATTGGAGCGTCTAAGCTGTTGTTCTGCTTTTTGAGTGGAATTTCACTAAGAAAAATTTCGGTAATATTTCTGATCAAGCGAATTATTTTTCTTTTCACTTTGCAATTTCGAGTGAAAATATTCGTACGATAATACAGAGCGGAAAATTCAGTCTATATGAGTGAAGAAATCGAATTAGAATTCGTGCGAGTCGGTTGTGACTCTGTTTTTCGAGTGAAATTTTGCTCGGAGAAATTTTGAGAGCATTTCCACGCGTGCGAGTCGCGCTTCTCCTGTTCTCGTTCGAGGCATCGTTGCACTACATCTACGTGAGAACACCGACCTGTATCACTTCCGGTGTGATGGACCTCGCTGGCGAGATCGGCGGTGGTTTATGACGAAAGGAGGCCGTTGGCGTCCCGGGGCTGATGCTGGGAGGGGACGTATGGCTCTTCCGGCCGCCTTTGCCGGCGTCTTTCTCCTCTTGGGCCGCGCCGCCGCCGCCGCCGTGTTCCGGACTCTACAAACGACGATGCCGAAGTTCGCAAATTAGATTCGTAGGTCTATACTTATCTTGAAGCAATGAAGTAAACACGCGGCCGGACCGCGCCTGGATAAACCGGCGCGAAATGAATTACTACAGCGGAAATATTTGTTCGCGTGTCTTGAATTGTTGCCAAAGGTAACGGCAATCGGGCGAGTTTAATTCCGTAACGCGTTAAATCGACCGACCGGCCAATACGATGCGTCTCGACGCATTCTCCTCCTCCTCCTCCTCCTTCTCTTCGTCCCTTTATACGGGAACATAATCATGGCGGGAAATCGATTGTCCCGAAGCGATCACGGATTCGCGTTTAACCACCCAAGTCGATCAACGAGTATGTCTGCGAGCCAACAGCGGCCGCTAAGTCGGATTTGATTGTATTTTCTTTCACGTATGTACACTGAGGGAAAATATCTAAGAAACAAGAAATATTTATTCACTGGGCACACCAATAGTAATAATTATTTATATTAATTTACATATATATTTTTACACAGAGAAAACATTTCTCTTAAATAAGAAAATATTTATTTTCCTGAAACCGTTGATTTTCATGAAAAAAATTGTTTATTCTATTTAGAATTCCCCACCGAATAAATATTATTTTTATTTCTCATAGTGTAGAAATTTTTCCTCTCAGTATAACGTGCATTGATAATTCGAGAATCTATTGATAGTTCGACACGTACGTCGAACGATTTTACTCTCTCTTGGGATTAATAAAAAATTTACATTGGCTCTCCCCCCTTTCTCTCTCTTTCTCTCTCTCTCTCTCAGATCCGATAACGTTCCTCGTGATTGGCAATTTCAAGAGCCCTGAAGTAATAATTGTTATATTTCATTTTATTCCCTTTTATTTCATTTTATTTCCTTTTATATCATTTATTCCTTTTTCCTTCATTTGCCTTGATTGCATTTTCCTCCATTTGATTTCAGCTCGTTGTTTATACGTTCTCTGTAAAGCTCTTTTAATACGTGCACAGCTCTTTTAATACTTTGCGAAATATAATTAATGGAGTAAATATGCGGACTCGCTGTGCGCATTCTGGGCAAATACGAGGAGGGACTGTGGAAGGGGGCAAGGAGGGTGGCGAAGGGGCGAGGGGTAAAGAAGAGACCGGGCAGAAATTGCATCTGTTTCCGATAAACTCGGTGCAAACGAAATTTAACACGACGCGACGAACTTTTATCCGCCATATAAAAAGGCGCCGCGATTGATCATATTCGTCCATTAAATGACGTTGCGCGACACGCATTTGTCGTTTTTCAACGGCGACGCAAACAACAATTCGCAAGCGCGATCCGTGTTCGTTGATTAATTGAATTCCCGTTTAATTGTCTGAGACAAGCATACGCCACCGGTGAGCGCTTTGAGCGATCGCGCGGCAATAATTAAAAGCCGAACACAAACGACGCGCGAAACGGATTAAACAAAAAATCCAAACGAACGAATTGCCCAGCCTTAACTCCCGTCAACGCGGAATATTCGTTGGTTTCGATATATTTCCCGCTTATCTCGTGAATCGACAGAAGTAACAGAAGCGTGCGGTTGTTCTCGCGACAGCTTCCTGGTGTTGTGTCCCGGCGCCATCTTTGCTGCGGCACATCCACATCCACCCAACTTTTTGTGAACCACAATTAACTTGCAAACGCACGTCAGTGTGACGGAAAAATGTTATATAGAAATGTTATGTTTTCTATAAAATTTCCACCATGTCGACGCGACACAAACCGGCGTCTTCTTGAAGAACTCACGAAGAAGACCTCACTTGGACGAACAACAATAAGTGATAAACAAAAGCAGAAACAATCAATGAGAGAGAGAGAGAGAGAGAGAGAGAGAGAGAGAGAGAAAGAGAGAGAGAGAGGGAGAGAGAGAACTGTCGCGAGGCAAGCTCGACTCGATGACACGACAAATCCTCGATTCCCGCGCACGTTATTCAGGTCGATGGCGATGTGCATCGCGTGTATCTAGCGATGCACCGACGAGGGTCGACGAGAGGCCGGTGCATGCCTCGGCGACGGTTCTCCGTCGCGGTCGGGGGAGATCGCGGCGACAAGACGGCAATTCGACAAGAACATACGACGAAGGTGACGCATTTGCGGCCGAAGAGTCGGTGCATCGCGGTACTCGCTGACGACTGAGCCGAGTGACATGAGGTGAACGTCGAGCAGGCGGTTTCGTGCACGAAACTGAAGCGGCAGAGAGAGAGAGAGAGAGAGAGAGGGCGAAGGGGTTGACGTTGTTCATACGGGAGCGCATCGGCCGAGGAGAGGTGGGCTCGTCGATGGTCCATGGTGTCGATGATAGGCGCTCGGTCGCAACGACGCGGATCCGCTCTTTTCGACGAACCGCAACATCCCCTGACTCAATAGCGCCCACGAGATGCTCTCCCTTCACCTGCGCGATGCCTACCCCGACGACCTCGTTTAAAAGCGCGTTCAGCAGTGGAGGAAGATAGTTTCCACACGGAAAAAACAGTTTGGTCGGATTAAGCGAATTTCTGGTCAAGTATGAGCGAGCTAGAAATTCCGGCCGAAGTTATCAGAATTCTGCTCGAGTTAACCAGAAATCTTGTCAACTTGAATAGAATTCTTGGAACTTCAATTGGAATTTCCTGGTTCGTTTAAACTTCACTGGAAATTGCTTAACCCAACCAAACTTTCTCTTTCGTGTACCGAGATAAAAGTACCAACGTATAGTTACTGATAATACCGATATCTAACTCTGAGTATTCTTATCGTTTCGGCCTCTAAATACAAATATTTTTGAAGTTTCGATGTAGAATATATATGTATATTCAAGTACATGTATAGAGGACGTCTGACGATCATTGACACAACCATTGTGTGCAAGTAGAACTCGTCGAGCTGAACGCAAAAGTCCTCTGCTATTTTACAAATGACCACGTAAATCTTCAGTTATTAATTAAGGAAGAACGGACTGCGTGACTGTGCGCAGTAATGTTTCTAACTAATAACTCTAAATGTTACGTGGTTGGTTGCGAAATGATAGAGGATTTTGTGTTCAATTTGACGAGTTCTGCACATACACCGCGATTATATAACGAATTGTCAGAATACACAACCTGTGTATTCTATATTGAAAATTTAAGTATTCAAATTTATAAACTATAACAATAAGAATATGCAAAGTCAAGTTGAAATCTGGTTATTAGTGTCCAGATATTGGGGACTTTTATCCTACTAGAAGCACTTCTTCCCACTCATCAGCTGTGTTGTCCTTCGGGACAAAGAACGATCTTGCATCGAAGGATCGATAGTGAACTGCAAATTCGACGACACACTTTCTTTTCAGACTCTCTGCAATTCAGGTGAAATGCGAGAGGAGATTCAATGATAGGAGCTCGTCGGCAGTGTGTAAAATCGTTGCTCGACTATTCTACCGCTTAATCGATGGTGAACGAGGAACTTCCGTCTTCCAACGTAACGATAGACCGCCGACTTCGTCGTTGCTCAGGCGCGTCTTTGGTATCCCATCCTCCTAACTCTTCTCTCTATCTATCTCTCTCGCTTGTTCCAACTTTACATATCTCTATTGTCGCGACCAGCTCTGTCTTTATCTCTCCTCCCCCCTCCACCCCTCTCTCTCTCTCTCCCTCTTTTCATCGTGGCTCTGTACCGCCTGCCCTCGTCATCCCTCTTCGTGAAGTTTTATTGGAAAGTTCGACCTCGGTGCATCGTACGCGTACAAGAGCTGTTCGCCGATAATGGCTCTCTCTCTCTCTTGGCGTTCTCTCTCTCCTCCCTGTTTGTCCCCTCTCCTTGTTTGTCCTCTCCCCCTCTTCTTTTTGTCCTCTTCTCGTCCTATTCTTTGGTCGCTTCGATTCTTTCTTTCTCTCTCTCTTTCTCCCTCTCTTTTCCTCTCGCGTTCTCCACATGAGTTTGTGATCGCCGTCCGAATGTATCTCGACATTGCATCTCCCCGCATCGACGGCCCCGAAAGAACGTGCGCGCACGGCCGATTGAAATTGGGGAGAACTCGATGTCATTTTCGGAGCAGCCGATCACAGGCCGCGCGCTTCGCCGACTCGGCTGCGCCGGGACGAACAGATTGTCGTCGCACTTGACACGTACGGCACTTGGTGGCTAACAAAAAGACACAGACAAAAAGGAAAAAGAAGATAAACCTGGCCACACTTTGCAACTGCACGTTCAAACTGATCTCAGAGTGCACCGGAAGATAAGTCGCGCCTACCTGGTGCCGTGCCTGCGAATAAAACACTGCTCTCCACGCGGTTGCGAAGGAAAATGTCGGACCTCATCGAACGGTTACTCAATGTCTGTTAAACTCGGTAATTCTCAGCGGACGCTTTTCAATTGTTCAAGGTCCACGCGAATCGCGATAAATTTCATCGTCGAGATTACGAGCTCGTTCGAGTGCCTGGAAGGAGCGGCGCGAATTTATGGTTCGCCGCTATGGCGAGGACGAAGTGCACATTCACGCCTCGAGTCGACAAGAGTGCAAGAACGCATGTAATGCGCATGTAAGAAATGGACGTCGATGTTGAATTTACATCGGCGCCGCGAAACATTGTGTCGCGTCGCGGACTTCAGAACACGCGATAAGAGATACTGGAATGTCGCGGAGAGCACGGCCCGAGCTCGTCCTCTCCCCACCATGTTCTCTAAATCTCGAGGAAATTTAAAGAATACCTTTTGAATTTCTTGGAGTGTGTGGAACCTCATTGGAAAGAAGAGAAAATTCACTCGAACTGCGACAGTGGAGATACTGCCACACGGAGTCACAAGGATGCGAGTGTTTAATTTAGAGTGAATTCTGCATTGATGAGGAAACGGTTCCAATCAATTAGAATAAATCCGTCCCTCTGGAACGGTGGAATATATTTAGAGAACACATAGAGAGAATTTATTTTATGTGAGCGAAAAGTCGCTCGTATAGATCGAATTAGAGACGGTGGAGTACATCAGAGAGAAAATGCATTCTGCACGAGCGAAAAGCCGCTGTCACTCTGCTCTTCTAGTGAAATTTCCCTCATATGGGATGAATTTTCTCTCTGATGTACTCCACCGACTCACAGGAATAAGTTTACTCTAATTGACCGAAACGCTCATATGGATTCAGAATTCGCTCTAAGTTTAAATTAAACGTTCACGTTTTTGTGATTCCAAGTGGCGGTATCTCCACAATCACCTCGGAGGAATTTTCACTCGTTCCGAACGAGATTCCACTCTTCTAGAAATTCAAAGTATATTCTTTAAATTCCACTTGAAAAGCAGAGCGGTCATCATTTGAATTCGACTGACTTTTCGCGAATTAGTGTGAATTCCTCTACAATGAATCGTTGAGAGAATATCTCCACTCGTAATTGAAAAGTGAGTCTACTGTCATTGCGACAAATTCACTCTAATTATCAGAAACTTTCGCTCGTGTGCATTAGGAATCCGAATTTCAGCACGGAGAAAAATAATTTGCTGGCCCAGAAAATTTTCTGCTAGTCTAGCAAAATCTTTTCGTTATTATATGGATAGCAAAAAGATTTACTAGTATTAATCACTATTTGCTGGATATAATTTGCTGAATCTACAAATTATTTTAATATAAGAACCATGATGGATTTATATAAGCAGTTGCAGTTTTGCTTCGATAGCAAATAAATTTGCTAAGGATATATTATTTTGCATCAATAGCAAATTAACGTGAATTCTTAGGACAAATACACTCAACAAATTTTTTCCATCCTGGCAACGAAACTATTTCTGCTCTGATAACGAATAATTTGTTACGTCAACTAAATTTTTTTTATGTCACTACGAACAGTAGCAACGACGATTTTGCTAAAAGAGCAAAATTATTCTTCTCCGTTTCAATTAAACATGAGATTACTTGAGATTATTTCAGTGGCAATATCTTCACTATCGCTTCAAGTAAATATTCACTCTTTTCGTGCGATTTCACTTGGAGAAATGCCGAGTGGTAGTATCTTCGCTGTCGTTTCAAGCGAATTCTCGCTTGAGTGCGACTGAGAATTCGCCCCGAGAAATTCGGAGAGTAAAAATTCGCAGTCTTAGCAGTAGAATTCGCCGCGCGACGTCATAGCTTGGCAGACTCCGTGAAGTCTCTCCCGTGTCCATCATACCGAGCGTCGCGACGCGCTGCATCCAATCTCGCGTAATGCGTCTATCGGCGACGACGGTTTTCGGAGATGGGCGACGTTAAACGACGGGACACCGAAGGCCGCCCGCTACTCGCTGACATCGCTCGAAGTTCAATTTCGTTCTGCGTTAGACTCGTCGTCGTCGACGACAACGGCAACGACGGCGACGGCGGCAACGTCCGGTTAGCGGATACGGAATCGATCGATTCGATATACGGGAGGCGGCGCGCGGGTTAATTGCGAGTCACGAACTTTCGCACCTCGCAAATCGAGTTAACCCGACGGCGCAGATTTACGAGCGTGACCTCGTTAACACGAGAACTCGCGAGGTTCGACTGGCCCGTCGTACGTCGCGTTTGTTTCGTTCGTTAAACGACCGGAAGAATAATCGTGGATTGTGCGCAGGAGAGGCGTGTAAGTGAGGTCGAGTGAGAGGAGATTATAAAAGTAGACCGTGCGGAAGCTCGCTTAAATTCAAACACACACACACACACACATACACACACACTCTCGAGATGTCGAAACTTCCGCGCGAAAATATCCCGTCAAGCTTTCCCGCGGATCCGACTGCCAAGTGGAAGCCAAGTCGACCAGACAATCTATCATTTTCCCTTCCATCATCGTCGATTATTGTCCAATTATTATCGCACGCTTACGAAACTCGCACCGTCTCGTAGTAAAAAGTACGACTTCCACTTGCCTCAGGAGGGAAGCGCGCGTCTAAATATAGTTTCCGAATTCACTCGCGAGGATCGTCCGACGCAATGCGGGGAAAAAAGGTAAAAGCAAAAATAAATCGTGAGAAGGTGCAGACTATCAAACGACGTGTAACTTACGAAAGTTGCCGGCGCGAAGTAATGTCGTAAATTTCCACGGGCCGTAAAGGGTTTAGTTCTCTCACCCCCTTGCCTCACACCGTCGTGGAATTTATTCCCCTCAGGAATGTGTGTACTTTTTCATGCGACGGCATGAAAGCTTAGTTCTAATGGGTCTGTAACGCAGATTTACGGAATTGCGACGGACGGCGTTCTAAGAGCGGCGTATATTTCTTTCCGTCAAGTCCGGCCCGTCCCTAAACGTAAATATCGCGCTGCTCCCGTCGTCGCGTCGCGAAAACGAAGACTGCCAGCCGACAATTCGGCTGTCCTCGCGGATTACCTCGTCGCTGGAATGTGCCGCGGATAAATGTCAACGCAGTCTAAACGGAGGAAAATGGAGATCGATTTGAAAAAGAGATTCTCTCTGGCGATGCACAAAGACGGATTTTTCTTGGAAAATACTAGTGACTTATTCGCGATATAAGAAAGCAGCGTGTCAGTTTGTCCGACCCGGATATGTTCATATCGCTGGAAATATTTTAAGATACAGTATGGGAGAAACTGAATATAATAAAAGTTTCTATAAGTCGAAAGTATCAATTCTCAGACACGTATCTAATCACATCCTTATTGTTTTAGTCTTTAAAAAATACGAATATTTCAAATTTTAAATGAATTATACGAATTATACAAATATTCAAACTTTTAATATAAAATATGTGTATGCATTTAATATACCTATATATATTTTATATTGAAAATTTTATTATTCTTATTTAAAGACCAATACAATAAGAATGTTGTAGAGACTGAATTTTTATAAGTATCAGTTTATTAAAAGTATCAGTTCCCGAACACGCATCTGATGCTGCATTTTTTTGTTGTTTCAATCCTTAAATATGAATATTTAAACTTCCAAGAAAATAGAATATATGTGTATGCATATATTTTATGTTAAAAGATCAAATATTCGTATTTAAAACTCAAAACTGTAAAAATGTCCAGAACTAGTTGCGTGTCCGGGCATTGATGCTTTTATCTCAGCGTAAAGTAGAAAAGACGCGCGCGCCGAAAGAAAATCTCAGTTCGGTTGACTGAACGGGGAAACCAGACGAAAAACTCGCTGACGAGAAATTATATCTCTGTTGCTGTGTGCGGTTCAGACATTCGTCTGAACATTCAGTCGCGTGAAAACTCGATTGAGGTGACTGAGAGCAGTTGGCTGAGCGGAAACCTCCTACAGGAATCTTCCCGTTCCTACAGGCTCCTGGTCCCCAGGTGACAGAGAACTAATTCAGTCGCACTAACGGGATTGTTCCTTCCGTGTGCGGATAAACCGCTAATTGATCGCCGCGGCGCACAAATTGCAGCCTCGGCATGAGTATGTATCTCGGCATCGCGCGCCGGCCGGTCGGACAAGATCAATCGGGTTCGAAAAACCGGATGAGGTGGAAACATCGATATTCCTGTATGCCATTAAATCTCACCAGATGCACCAGCGACTGGACGAGGAGGCAGACGGGATTTCCGGCGGCTTGAATCACCTCCACCGCTCGCTCGTGTGTACTCTGCCGCAAGTCCACGCCGTCCACCTCGATTATTCTATCTCCGATCTGAAAGCACGCACGCGTACGTGTGTGTGTGAGAGAGAGGGAGAGAGAAAGAGAGAGATGGAGCGGGAGCGCGAATTAACTTGTCGGGGGCTTAATTAAAATACATTTGCGCGCAAATACCTAACGAGATAAAATTTCCCCCCGTCGCGAGAAAGATGCGCAAAAATTCTACTTTCATATTTTCCCGTTTATCGCTCCATATCCACTTCCACATGCTGGCGAGCGCGACGAATGAGAGAACGCAATTCCGCAACGAATGGTTTGGGCATGTAGGGGAAAAGTGAAAACGAATGAGGGAAGAACCGAATGAAATGGAGAAACGCAATTTTCGCGATCGGCGATCGGGATAGTTAAAGGGAGCTCATGTTACCTTGAGACCGCCGGTTCTACCGGCCGGGCTGTTCGGCAGAACATTCTTTATGAATATCCCGGAGATGTTCTGAGACTTGCTGGCGCCGCCATTGTGCAGATCGATCTGGAACAAGGATCAGTCGTCGTTGAATGCTCGCGCGGAGCGAGTGCGAAGCGAGTGGCGCGGCGATTGGTCGATAGGTCGGCAGTCGCCGGCGATTCCGCAGTCGAGTTCGCAATTAAATTTAATCAATGTCGCCAGCAGCTGTCCCGAAACTCTGTTAACTGCGAGACCACGCCGAAGCGACCGCGGGGCAAGCTTCGTTCGCGACAGATCGCAACCTGTGATTTCCGATCCTCCCTGCTGCCGCCACCGCCACTGCCGCCGCCTCCACCGCCGCCGTACTTCAGTCTCTCCCTCCCTCCCTGCCCGTTCCTGCGTTCCCCTCGATCATTTATTCTCATTAATCTCTCATTGGCTCGTCGTCGGCATCGTCACGCGTTAACCGAATTAAATACGATTATTTAACACCGCAATTCGGAGCGGCCGGTATAATAATCGAATAATCGATTACATCCCCCGCCGAGCGGAGAAACAAACGCGTCCGGCTTAATTAGCGACGGGCTATGCGCGCGTGTGTACGCGTATTTGCACGTGTGTGCACGTCCGTTACATTATTCATCGGTGAATTATGATTCGCGTAATGTTAATTACCCGTGAGGCGGGAGTACATAAACGCGACGCCTGTAGTTTGATCAAACGTGGAAGTGCAGTTTCCTGGACGCGTGACGGCTCGCCGCGGTGTAATCCCGCGATGCATCCCGCGACGCATCGACTCGGCTCACAAGCGCGTCGTTTTGTCGAGAGAGAGAAAGAGAGAGAGAGAGAGAGAGAGGGTACGAACAGGGGTGGAAAAGAGAAGGAGAAGAAGGAAGGGATGGAGGAGGAAGAGCTCTCGAGACGAGAGTCGGGGAGTCGCCGGGACGAAAGCCAATGATCCGGTTACTAGTTTCCTTGTCGGCTTAACGTCGCGGGAAACTACCCCGCGCACTTTAACCCGCACGACGTCCGCGCACTGTTACGGACTGCGCGTCACGTCGGATGACGCGTTAGGCGACTCGACGTCCCGCACTCGTCCGGCGAGGCGCGCTGCTTTCCGAAGGAGCTTCCGGCTCGAGTTCTCCCTGCGACGTCTTCGCGGAGGGACGCACGAGCTCGTGCCCGTCGCGATTTACACGATCACGATCGACTCGGACGCCTGTCCCGACGTGAGGACGAGTCGGGATTAACGGTTGGATACCGATACAATGCAGCTTTCGTATTTTGCGCTGCTCTTTCATTTGGTTGCGTAGACTTGCGAATGCTTGTGCAGAGTGAAAGTGCAAACGTCAATGAATGGCTGCAACTCTCTCTCTCTCTCTCTCTCTCTCTCTCTCTCTCTGCCTGTTTTATATTAAAAATAAAAAGCAAACAATTTTTAAAACTTAAAATTTCACTTTAATTTTTTATATATCATGAAGTACTGCGCTATTTGTTAACATTTGTTGACACACAGAAGAATACCATTTTACTGCTAAGAATAACGATTATTCAATTTATTTTTCTTTTTTTAAGTTTCCATCGCATGCAATCATTTGCCAATTTTCGTTAATTAATATTCTAAAGATTCACGTGGTTACTTATAAAACGGTGGACTTTTTTCTTCAGTTTGACGAGTCCCACCTGTTCCACAAGAGGACACGCGAGTCGCGTCGAACTGTGTAAACTTATAAGTCATTCGGAAGAAGTAACATTTACTTAAATGCATTCCTCCGCGTGAACCTTCACGCTGTACGTAGCAAGCGTTTGTAATTCTACGCAAGCAAATGGAGAGGCAGTGCGAAATACGAAGCTCGGTACAGCCAGCAGCATCCTCTTGATCTCGCCATGAGATCTCTCTCCGATCTCTCCGGATAAGCCGAACTCAGTCATGACACGCGACGACAGACAGATTGTACATGTGCGCGAGCGACTAGTTAATTGATTCCATTAAATCCCATTCGCCGACTAACGTTCCCGATAGCCCGCGCGTCGATTACTAAAAGCCCTTTTAATTCTCGCGTCACGACGAATTTATCCGTGGATCCACGTCAAATCCATTAAAACGCCTACACGCGCGGGATGGTGCGCGGCTGCCGGACACGAGCATGCCGATAAAGTCGCTTGCACGTGTATACAACGATATACTTATTATTTGCTAGAGCATCGTTAATTATCGGACGGAATTATCGAGTTATGGCTCATCTCTCGGATGTGTATGCGCGAGAGATAGATAGATAGATAGATAAATAGATAGATAGATAAAACGAGAGAGTCGTTGGCTGACTGGCGTCCATTTAGCCCGACCTACTTCGCTCAGCACTGCCCGAATGTTTCGATGACCATCGTAACACTCCCGATTTTAAAGGCGAGCTATAAAATACCGAGGCAATATCGGTGAACTAACTCCCTCCTCTTCTCTCCTCTCTTTCTCTCTCTCTCTCCCTCGGCTGCAACGGCGGTGGCGGCGGCTATATTCGTGCGTGCTAATAAAAGAGATACGAAAAACCGTAACCGAACCGAGCGTGTGAGAGTCCGCGTCGGGATTATCCGGCGCATTGATCGAATATCTATCTCGAGGGGAGAATTTACGAAAATAATAGAATATAATTTCGTCCGGTGTCTTTTAATATTCGCCGTTACCGCGTGACACCGGACCGCGAACTGCGTCAATACCCGTGACAGCGTAATTCCACGAATGCACATATAATATATCGGGAAAAAGTGCGCGATTTCTCTCTCTCATCTCCTGTCTCCCCCGCGTCACCTCTGCGACACCCGCGACTGTGCGCATTAATTTCGTGACCTCGCGTGGAGAGAAACGCGGATGAGCCGATGCGCGCGAATCGCGGCGTTGACGCGACTGGAAAATGCGGACGCATTTTCGCGAGAGAAGAGACTCCTCTCGCGCAATTTCCGCCGCGCCGAATCGCCTCGCCACATAGCGGTGGATATTTCTCGCGAATACACGCACGAAGACAAGAGTACCTTTCGTCGTACCTTTCCGCCAACGATGCTGAGCCCCAGGCTGGTTTTCGGCTCTCTATAGATCTCCACCAGTCTCTCGGGACCCCAGTGCTTCGACCAGGTGACGTCACCATCGTGCTCCCTGCGCGTGACAGTCATGTCCCCTTTGCCTTCCACAAAGACGACCGTGGGGAACTTGCGTGGCGAGCTGGAGCTTGACGAAGGCGAACTCTCCTCGGTCTTCCTCGACGTCAAGCTGGTCGGTCTGCTACGATGCGCGGCTGGAGGATCGGAACGCGCCTGATCAATTTCGAGCAATTCGTCGTCGCTGCATTGGATCGCCTTGGACTCCTGGTAGGTCTGCACCTCAACCTCCCGTCGAGGGCTGCGTAGTAGGTCCTCCTGCGATGAAGATCTTGACTTGTGGGGCGACTTGATAATGTCTTCTGGCACACACTGGATACTCTTCGACTCCTGCACCTGATCCGATCTAGCCGGACTGCCGAAGAAGGCGGTGTCGCCTCTCCACGAGCTATCGAGGCTGCCCAAGTCGTCCAAGCAACATTGGACGCTCTTGTTCTCGCCTTGGGTCTGCGTCTGCACTTCCCGTCTAGGACTCTGAAAGTACTTCTGACCGATGTGGAAGGGGCTAATTCGGGATGGTTCTTCGTATGGGCTCGACACGCTCTGTTCGGGACTGCACTGCGTGCTCTTCGACTCCTGCACCGTCTGAGTCTGCACGTCGCGCTTCTCCTTCGGCGAGTACTGCGTCTCCTTGAAGCTGTGCTCGACCTCGTCGAGGTTCTCTTCGTAGACCTCGCGGCTCCAGCTGTCGGGCACCGGCCTCAGGTTATCCTCCAAGGAGGGCGTGATCACCTCGTGGAACAGGTGATCCAACTGGCTCTCGAGAGTCTGGCTCTGGTACTCAAGAGAATGCTCCTTGCAGATTAAACTGTCCTCCTCCTGCCTGCGGGCTGCTTCCTCCAACAATGGCGATCGTTTCAGCTGCGACGGACTCTGACCATAATCACGAGCTCTCCTCGAATCCTCCCTAGTCTCTTCCTCTCGTGGCGCCTTTTGTTCCTCCTTCCGGAGATCCTGCGGCGCAGTCACTCGGTCGACAGCTTTGCTGATCCTCAGAGGGATCGCGAGGTCCTTTGGAGGCGCGCGGATGGATCCTCTGGATGCGCGTCGAGCTTCGCCGCTGCGGGAACCGGCAGAAACGCAAATGAGAACGCGGAACAGGAGACTCACGGTCGCGCACGCAATCGCTTCGTGTCGAGCGCTGCTCGTCGACGTCGACGACGACGAAGAGTCGTCGGCGCGAAGCTATCGCCCGCCACAAGCAAACCTCCGGCATTGTCGCGTCCATCGAGTATCTCCCGCGAGAATCACCGTCAATTGCGCTCAATGCTTTTCTTAATTGCAACGATCCGCTCGTTACGGCGAGCGCGAGCCGCTAATACAAGAACACCGGCTGATTGGCTGCAGTTAGTCGACGCTATGCCGGCCAACATGCGCGTGTAAATCAGTCACGTCCCGTCTGGCGTTGTCCCGCGTGTCCCTTCGCGGCGCGTGCACGAGGTGAAAATATTCTTAACGATGACGTGGCTTCACGTCACATAACATGTAGCTGACATACAAATTGATATATCGAGTATCATATTTACACAGTTGGTTAAAAAAGGAGCGACACGATGTAGTATAATAGTAATCTCTAATTATTTCTCGTTTTTTTTCCTTGTATCTTTGCAAGCAATTTTTTATCGTCATATTTTTACGTGCGAGATAAAATTCCCGGACCTATATATAATATTAACTATTCTTATTAATATATACGAATATATAAATTTAATATAGAATATGTATATATATATATATATATATATATATATACAGAATGTCCCACCTAAATCAGGCCACCTAAATTCCATTAAAAAAAACATCAATGACATTAAAAATTCCGAAAAAAATAACTTTGATAAAATAATCTTTTTTGCAACATATTGGTCTCTCCATTTAATTAACGTAGAAAATATTTTTTGTATCGTCACAATTGTTGGAGATATTTAGGTGGCCTGATTTAAGTGGGACACCCTGTATATACATATATATATATATATATATATATATATATAAAATAGAATGTCTGTTTGTTTTTTATTAACTCCTAAATCCATTAACCGATCTGCACCAAATTTTGCATAGTTACTTTCTAGGGCCTTACTTTTATCCTACGGGAAATATCAGCTATATGAAACTTGGATATCCCATTCCCTCCTCCGGATTTCATCTCCTTGACATTTTGTGATAGTTTAAGGTTAGATATTGCAGATATATATAAGAAGCTCAGATAACCTCAGGTAAGCAAGTATTCAATATGCATAGTGCAATATGCAAGTATTCAATACTTGTATATTGCAATGCAGGGTTACAATGGTTTAGACACAATAAAATAAACTGTCTGTTGAGAATCTGTAAATTAAAAGTCATTATTGATGGACTCTTTCCTAGCGATTATATTACTAATTAATATCACTATTAGTTATTATTAGTACTATTATTATTTATCATTATTTAATGTTTTTAATTGTGTTTTAGTTGTAATAATTCTCAATTTTCTCAAGTTTGGTGAGTTACCAACTTCACTATGTCTAAACCGTTTCGCAACTTGCTATTCATACATTTCATGTTGAAAGTTTACATACTCGTATTTAAAGACCAAAACAATAAGAATGTCCAGGGTACGTGTTCGGGGATTAGTACCTTTACTTTAACAATGCGGATAATCTTTCTGTCATTGTATCTTTGCAATAGTATAACCTGGATAAGGATATGTATCTAGAGAAGTGTTTTAATTGACGACGAAGGACGTGTTTACGTCGCATCGAAAAATGTGCCGCGTATCACCCTCGATGTTTCCACGCGCGTGCGATAAAAATGGAATAACGCGGGGAATTCTGTATCACACAGTGGAATACGTTTTAGCGCGGTATCTCGCGAAACAGTCTCGCGAAATAACGGAGGATAATACGGACGGGCCTACGTGTATCGGTCGCGAGTGGGAGCGATATTCTCGTTGCGGAACGTGCGCACATTTTCGATATGTATACATGTGAACGGTATAAATCCCACGCGGGAACGTGACGGACTTACCGGTGTTTGCTTTCGACAGAAAAAGCTGTTACGCGCAGAGAATGGTTATGATATTCAGGCCGCAGATAACTTGATATTTCTCCCGATACCACTTATACTGCCGTGTGTCTGTTATCTCTGTCAGCATCGTATTTAATCACGCGCGCTCCTTTATATCGTTAATACACGATGCCTGATCGATTATGCATTATATTATGCGTCGACTGCCAAACCGATTTTCACCGAGTTGTTTTAAAACTCAATTAAAGTTTAAATAAGCGGGATTATGGCAAAATATATGCACACACACACACTTGCTGACGCATAAATTTGTCAGTTAGCTTTATCAGCTCTCTGTTAGCCGCATATTTAATTCGTTAAGTATTAATTAGTTACGTTTTGCGCGTAAATTAACGTGGCAAAGTCATAGTGTTGACCAATAATGGCAATCAACCTGGATGAATAACAACGAGAAATGCAAAGTACAATGACCGTCGAATCAACTCTGATATTCCTCCGATCGTAGAAATGATCATCCAATACGTATCGATCGCGTGGACAATATGTTTCTCCCGACCACATAATCGTGTCTAATTGACGTTAAATCGTTTATTTAAATTACTTATGCAAACTTATCTGAACGTCATTTTATCGTTATCTAAACGATATTACTCCATCAACGTAATCTTCGCGGAGCGCAGCTTCATCTCGACAAGATCGATATCCCGAGTTCGACCGAACTTGAAAATAATTTGTACAAGCTGTTAATTTTTCAAATGTGCGCGAGGCGACGCTCATGCTTCTCTCTTTCTCCCTCTCTCTCTCTCTCTCTCTCTCTCTCGCTCTTATATATATTTACATATCTCCAACATCTGTCAACTGCAACGGCCGTCGAAACCCGTCAAGTACGCGAAGCGTGCCAACGCGACTCGACGGCCAACTACGCGCAGATTCAACGGCAAGGTCGACCCTTACGCGACATGTTACAGCTTCCGTTATTCAATGTTGTGTATGTCTCACTTCCGATTATCGCGAACGACGAACCTTCACCTCTCTTCTCCGTTGACACGACGTCACATCGTCGTCGTCGTCGTCTCGTAGTGCGTCCCCGGAGCGAGGGAAGCCGACGTCTCGAGGGTGCGCGTACACAAGAGAGAACGTTAAGGGAGTGCACTCGAAAAGCCGAGGGCGCGTCGGCGGAGGAAACGCGTCGCGCTGACGGAGGATCAGCGCGAGGAACCGCGAGTAGTTGGAAGCCAAGGTGTTCACTGCCGTGTCTCCGGCCGGGCCGGCCGTGCGTCACTGCAAACTGGCTTCCTCTAATCTAATAAACAACACTTCTGCCTCTCGCGGCGCGCGTCTTATACACGTACACGTACACACAGGCACGGGCGATGGATGGCCGCGAGCTGGCACATAGAGAAGCGCGCGCGAACGCGAGCGCGCAAACGCGAGCGCGGACGCACGCAGACTGGAGGAGCGCGGACGATTCGCGAGAGAACTTTATGCGTGTGCGTTTTTACGGCGCGACGGCGAGGGTGGACTTGACGCGCACGTGTGCGTACGTGTGTTATGTATCTATGAGAGATAAATGAGCGCGTATGTGGAGGCGCGGTACACGTAACCGCGCAGGAGGAGCGAGCGTGTACGGCGTGGAGAAGACGTGGAGGAGACGTGAAAGTACACGTGTACTTATGCGCGTGTGTACTTATGAGGGACTGACGAGATAGTGCGAGTACGCAGGACGTTCCCACTTGAAGCGTACTTAGCGCGACAGATTCCACCACGGGGCGAATCTCAAATCGATTTCATCTCGCTACGCTCTCTGGCAGCTCGATAATCTTCGAGTTACCTATCCTCGAGTCGAAATTTTAACTCCACTTTCGATCTGCGCTCTCTTGACATCTGTATATTCTGAGGGATGTGCTTAATACACATGAAAACTGGAGTTCTACTCATAGAGTCATTTGCACGTTGAGAGAAATAATTGCTAGAAAAAAGGTATTTCTTCGTTGAGTACTAATAACCGTTACTTGAACCTAGATTCTTTTATTTGAATGGAATAAACAATTGCTTTCACAAATGGCTACGCTTTTACGAAAATGTATATTTTCTTATTTAAAAGTAAATTTTTCTCAGTGTGGAAAAATGTATTTACTTATAAGTAAATACTAAATCAAATAACGCGATCAAATAATACATCTGACCAGTCAGAGTCGAACGTAAGTCACCTTAAACGAAACTTATTAATTTTTAATTTAGCAATTGACATTTTGCGCTCAACTCTGATTGGCCAGGTTACTCGCGTTATTTGATTTAATTCTTACAAGTTATAAGTAAATATGTTACTAGTACCCATAAAAAACATTTTTTCTTTTTTTAGATATTTTTTCTCTCAGTGTAGATTCTCAAGAGTATTTCTTGGCAAAGTCAATTAAGTCAAATATATAAAATTATAAAAATATATATAAATATATATAAAAAAAATATATATATATAAAAATATAAAAAAGAAGTTTATACAGACTTCAAAATATCAAAGTAGGCGTCAAATGGATCCAAGATCGAAGATCGAAGATGGAACTTGACTTAAATTACGGCTCAAGATATGCGATCGAAAGGAAATAAATTCGCTCTCGCGTGCGAAATTTCCACGAATCAGCTAGGATTATGCTTCGCGGTTAATTTTGCGGATGGGATTTAATCTAATGGAATTTTCACTCGAGTCCTGGACATACACGAAACGCAGACGAAAGCAAGAAAAAAGAAAATTGGAATTTCGCTACAAAATGCGAATTCTCCTCGCGCGGCGGGAAAAAAATCTAATCCGAATTGCTCGGGGAATCCGGTCGCTGCAAAATAACGCGCTCGAAGTGGGACACGCTGTATATGCATATCGCGTATGCAGAGTGGCTCGTGAGAAATGAGAGCGTGTGCAGAGACATGTCGTTGAATGCGCACCGTGAGCCGCGGACGATCGTGTGAGTGTGCACGTGTCGTTGAGCGGCTGAAGTTCGTGTGACTGCCGGGAGCCCGGGCGAAATCGAAAGGTGCGGGCGTGTGCGCGCG